GCAGAGACACACATAGGTTCAAAATAAAGGGATGGAGGAAGATCTACCAAGCAAAGGGAAAGCAAAAAAAAAAAAAAAAAAAAAAAACAGAGGTTGCAATCCTAGTCTCTGATAAAACAGACTTTAAACCAACAAAGATCAAAAGAGACAAAGCCACTACATAACGGTAAAGGGGTCAATTCAACAAGAAGAGCTAACTATCCTAAATATATATGTACCTGATACAGGAACACCCAGATTAATAAAGCAAGTCCTTAGAGACCTAGAAAGCGACTTAGACTCCCACACAATAATAATGGGAGACTTTAACACCCCACTGTCAATATTAGATCAACGGGACAAAGTTATCAAGGATATCCAGGACTTGAACTCAGCTCTGCACCAAGCAGACCTAATAGACATCTACAGAACTCTCCACCCCAAATAAACAGAATGTACATTCTACTCAGCACCACATCATACTTATTCCAAAATTGACCACAGAGTTGGAAGTAAAGCACTCATTGACAAATGTAAAAGAACAGAAGTCACAACAAACAGTCTCTCAGACCACAGTGCAATCAAATTAGAACTCAGGATTAAGAAACCCACTCAAAACTGCACAACTATATGGAAACTGAACAACCTGCTTCTGAATGACTGCTGGGTAAATAACAAAATAAATCTCAAGATCAATATCGTGAAAATGGCCGTACTGCCCAAGGTAATTTACAGATTCAATGCCATCCCCATCAAGCTACCAATGACTTTCTTCACAGAATTGGAAAAATACTTTAAAGTTCATATGGAACCAAAAAAGAGCCCACATTGCCAAGACAATCCTAAACATAAAGAACAAAGCTGGAGGCATCACGCTGCCTGACTTCAAACTATACTACAAGGCTACAGTAACCAAAACAGCATGGTGCTGGTACCAAAACAGACTTATAAACCAATTGAACAGAACAGAGGGCACAGAAATAACACCACACATCTACAACCATCTGATCTTTGACAAACCTGACAAAAACAAGAAATGGGGAAAGGATTCCCTATATAATAGATGGTGCTGGGAAAACTGGCTATCCATATGTAGAAAGCTGAAACTGGATCCCTTCCTTACACCTTATACAAAAATTAATTCAAGATGGATTAAAGACTTAAATGTGTGACCTAAAACCATAAAAACCCTAGAAGAAAACCTAGGCAATACCATTCAGAACAGAGGCATGGGCAAGGACTTCATAACTAAAACACCAAAAGCAATGGCAACAAAAGCCAAAATAGATAAATCGGATCTAATTAAACTAATGAGTGTCTGCACAACAAAAGAAACTGCCATCAGGGTGAACAGGCAACCTGCAGAATAGGAGAAAATTTTTGCAATCTGCCCATCTGACCAAGGGCTAATATCCAGAATCTACAAAGAACTCAAATTTACACGAAAAAATCAACCCCATCAAAAAGTGGGCAAAGGATATGAACAGACACTTTTCAAAAGAAGACATTTATGCAGCCAACAGACACATGAAAAAATGCTCATCATCACTGGTCATCAGAGAAATGCAAATCAAAACCACAGTGTAATACCATCTCACACCAGTTAGAATGGTGATCATTGAAAAGTCAGGAAACAACAGATGCTGGAGAGGAAGTGGAGAAATAGGAACACTTTTACACTGTTGGTGGTAGTGTAAACTAGTTCAACCATTGTGGAAGACAATGTGGCGATTCCTCAAGGATCTAGAACTAGAAATACCATTTGACCCAGCCATCCCATTACTGGGTATATACCCAAAGAATTATAAATCATGCTGCTATAAAGACACATGCACACGTATGTTTATTGCGACCCTATTCACAATAGCGAAGACTAGGAACCAACCCAAATGTCCATCAATGAGAGACTGGATTAAGAAAATGTGGCACATATACATCATGGAATACTATGCAGCCATAAAAAAGGATGAGCTCGTGTCCTTTGTAGGGACATGGATGAAGCTGGAAACCATCATTCTGAGCAAACTATCACAAGGACAGAAAACCAGAGACCGCATGTTGTCATTCATAGGTGGGAACTGAACAGTGAGACTACTTGGACACAGGGCGGGGAACATCACACACTGGAGCCTGTCGTCGGGTGGGGGAATGGGGGAGGGTTTGCATTAGGAGAAATAACGAATGTAAATGATGAGTCAATGGGTGCAGCAAACCAACATGGTACATGTATACATATGTAACAAACCTGCACCTTGTGCACACGTACCCTAGAATTTAAACTATAATAAAAAACAACAACAGCAACAACTTGGGTCTCAGTACTTAGAAAACAACCATGATCAATAAAATAAACATTTACCAATTCCTTCAACTCAAAAAAAAAAAAAAAAAGAATGACGCACTGATACATACGACAATATAGATGAACCCTGAAAACATGTTAAGTGAGAGAAGCCGGACACATTTATATGAAATGACCGTAATAGATGACTCCATGGAGACAGGAGGTAAATAAGTGAGAGGAGAAAGAAACGGGGAGCTACCTGCTTAATGAATACAGGGTCTCGTTTTCGGTTGATGAAAATGTTTTAGAACTAGATAGAGGTGATATTTGCACATTATTGTGCTTCTACCACATATCACTGATTTATACACATTAAAATTGTGAATTTTATGTAAAATTTAGTTTACAAAGGAGTTAATAATAATACCTATCTGATAGGGCTGCTTTGAGGATTTAAAAATGTAATAAATGGGCTGGGCACAGTGGCTCACACCTTAATCCCAGCACTTAGGGAGAGCAAGGTGGTGGATCACCTGAGGTCAAGAGTTCGAGACCAGGCTGGCCAACATGGTGAAACCCGGTGTCTACCAAAAATACAGAAAAAAAAAAAAAATTAGCCTGGTGTGGTATCATGCGCCTGTAATCCCAGCTACTTGCGAGGCTGAGGCAGGAGAATTCTAGAACCCGGCAGGTGGCGGTCACAGTGAGCCAAGATCGCACTGCTGTACTCCAGCCTGGGCAATGGAGCGAGACCCTGCCTCAAAAAAAAAAAAAAAAAAAAGTAATGTCAGATGCTTAACAGAGTTACCTGGCATATAAATGTTATTTTTACAGGGTCAGAATCTCTGCATTCCAGAGTTAAATGTAAACTTTCTCAAATTCTGGAATATGAGAATTGATCAATTTATTTTGGAATTTGTAAAAGGTGGTTTTAAGACATATATGATTAATAAAGCAGGTTATTACACCAGCGTTTTATAGGCTGATGGGTAAGTAAGTTCAGGAAAAGTTCTGTAATTATGGCTAATCAGACATGTATTACCCATAACTTTGAAACTGTAAAGTTTTCTCACAAAAAAACTCATAAATGAGTTATCTCTCTCATCGGAGACTAGTAGGTGGGGATAAATCAATGTATGATTAGGAAGGCATTTATGTTCTTATGTTTTACTAAGATAACCTACTAAATAGATAATCTGGAGAATTGTTTAGTCTTCTTTGTTTGACGTGGATTTTTTTCATGGAATATAATTTTTGAACTATGTTAGCCTTTTCTTGGTTGTAGGGTATTTTAACCATTTGAGAACTGTGGCTCCAAAGGAAAATGCATAAACATACAAAACCAGCTATTCGTTTTGAGGGGTTCGCAGATCATAGAAGCTTACCCAGAGATCTCTGGGTAAACGTTTCTCCTTTTAAGACCAGGTGGTAATAAATTGCAATTCCAAGGAAGAAGAAACCAGTTATTTTCTGTGTTCGTCTTTATCATTATATCTTAGTCTTCTGTTTGTAAAGACTCTAGTCTATGTGGAAAGCAAGAGTCACTACCCGTCAAAGTCAAGGACTTGGACACTGTTAATTTGTCTTCTTTGACTTTGAGGGGTAGTGACTCTTGCTTACCACATAGACTAGCCCAAGGTTGAATTTTCGGTATAAATGTGAGACCGCGTCAGCAGAAATTCTGATATTCTTGGGAAGCATGTTGAACAAAGGGAATTATTCAGGAATTGGCGATTAGAATTCATTTTACTGATACCATCATTAATTTTTGTTTAAGGTGATTTAAATCATTCTTTATTTAAATTTCTTTGTAATGTCTGCATAAAACACAAACTAGTATCCTGCTATGGCTTAGTTAAACAAAGATTAAATTTAGTGATTTTAGCTGGGGTTTTCCTTGTTAAAAAAATACCTTAAATGTGATTTTTGTGTACAAGACTTGCGGTATCTTGCCTTTTAGTAATTCATAATCTAGCCTACTTTTTGCAGTATTCATAATCTAGCCTACTTTATGCAGTATTATTCATAATCTAACCTACTTTATGCAGTATTATTCATAATCTAGCCTACTTTATGCAGTATTATTCATAATCTAGCCTACTTTATGCAGTATTATTCATAATCTAACCTACTTTATGCAGTATTATTCATAATCTAGCCTACTTTATGCAGTATTATTCATAATCTAGCCTACTTTATGCAGTATTATTCATAATCTAACCTACTTTATGCAGTATTATTCATAATCTAGCCTACTTTATGCAGTATTATTCATAATCTAGCCTACTTTATGCAGTATTATTCATAATCTGCAACCTACTTTATGCAGTATTCATAATCTAGCCTACTTTATGCAGTATTATTCATAATCTAGCCTACTTTATGCAGTATTATTCATAATCTAGCCTACTTTATGCAAGTATTATTCATAATCTGTAGCCTGCTGCAGTATTGTCATAATCTGCTTTACTTTATGCAGTATTCATAACCTAGCCTACTTTATGCAGTATTCTACTTTATGCAGTATTAGTCATAATCTAGCCTACTTTATGCAGTATGCATAATCTAGCCTACTTTAGGCTTGTTTGGTTTGTTGTGCCTATTGTTTCAATGAAGGAAAGAGAAGGACTTTATCATATTTCTGGGCACATTCTGGATCAAAATTTGCATATTGTATTATTAATTTGTGCTCTTAATTCTTAAGATTTACAGATGTGATGCCCTTTTCCCTCTCTAGGCAATGCATGAACCATTGCAAACTTGGCAAGATGCACCATACATTTTTATTGTACATATTGGCATTTCATCCTCAAAGGAATCATCAAAAGAAAATTCACTGAGTAATCTTTTTACCAGTAAGTTCAGTGTTTGTTTTTTTTTTTAATGGTTATGTTATTATCTGGTTATGTCATTCATGTACTTTACATATGCTTTTTTATTAGGTATTACAGATATCAGATTTCTTTTTCCTTCATTTGGTACTCCTGCTTTTAAAATTTTTAGTTAGTAACATGTTTTCAGTATTCTGAACTAGAATTATCAAAACTTGGTCACCAGGCTAGAGATCAGGAAATTTTAAATTAACGTTGGCCGGGTGCGGTGGCTCATGCCTGTAATCCCAGCACTTTGGGAGGCCAAGGCAGGCAGATCACGTGAGGTCGGGAGTTCAAGACCAGCCTGACCAACATGGAGAAACCCCATCTCTACTAAAAATACAAAATTAGCTGGGTGTGGTGGCTCATGCCTGTAATCCCAGCTACTCAGGAGGCTGAGGCAGGAGAATTGCTTGAACCCGGGACATGGAAGTTGTGGGAGCTGAGATCGCACCATTGCACTCCAGCCTGGGCAACAAGAATGAAACTCCTTCTCAAAAAAAAAAAAAAGAAAAAATTAACATTGGTAGTTTTTAGTGTCTCAAGAATTTAAGTGTTCTCCTTTCCAGGGTTGCTGCCTAGTTTCATAGAGTCATCATCTCTTACCTGGAATTTGCAAGAACTTCCTAACTGGTCTTATTTCCTGTGGTTTCCCCTTTGTTTCATCTTTGTATTTTTGCAATTTCCTTTCCTACCCTGCTTTCTTAAGCAGAATATGGAATAGAAACAATGATGGCAGCCGCCATTACTTCGCTCCTGACTTTACTGGCTGTATTGGTATATTTCATCATTAAGTACTATGTTTACTGTAGAACTTTTGAAATATTCTTTATTTGGTTAAGGATGTTCCTTTCTATTCCTAGTTTAATGAGAGTAGTTTCCTTTGTTAAAAAAAAAAGTTAAGAATGAATATTTAGCTTTATCAAATAGTTTAATTGTACTGATTTATATGATCATATGGGCTTTCTCATTTAATAAGGTAATGTCATACGTTAAATTAACTGATCTTCTAACATTAAATCATTGTTGAACTTCTGGGATACCACTACTTGGTTTTGACACACACACACACACACACATATTCTCTCTGTCTCTGTCTTTCTCTTCCTCCCTCCCTCCCTCTTCCTCTCTCCCTGCCCCTCTCCCCCTCACTCATACATGTGTATCCTCCTGTCTCTTTAAGCCTATGACTTAATGGATTATAGTCTCAAGGCACAGTTACTAGTGTTCATTTTCAACCTTCTTTCTTTGAAAATGTTGGAAGAGAAGCTGTATTCCACCCTACTTCAGCTTCTTCATGTATCCAGCCTGGCTCTGGTCCCTCTTCTTTTTCTTTGAAACCTGCTAGCTTCAGTGATCCCGTAGGAACTCTACTTCCAACTACCATAGATCCCATAGGGACAGCACTTCCAACTACCATAGCCTGCTTTTGGTCCAAGAGCCCAACATGATCATGGAGTCAGCCTCATGCACTGTTCTGAGTTTCTGTTTTGATTCTTGGAAATGTCTGTCTTGTTTTTGAGCTTATATCCTTTTTTGTTTTGTTTCTTTTTCTTTCTTTTTTCTTTTTTTTTTGTTTTTTTGAGATAGAGTCTCACTCCGTCACCCAGGCTGGAGTGCAGTGGTGTGATCTTGTTTCAGTGCAACCTCTGCCTCCTGGGTTCAAGTGATTCTGCTGCCTCAGCCTCCCAAGTAGCTGGGATTACAGGCCTGCACCATCACACCTAGCTAATTTTTGTATTTTTAGTAGATTGTATTTTTACAACCTACTAAATTATTATTTATCTGCTAAATTATTAAATATACTAAATTTTTATTTAGTAGATTGTATTTTTAGTTTCACCATGTTGGCCAGACTGGTCTTGAACTCCTGACTTCGAGTGATCTGCCCGCCTTGGCCTCACAATGTGCTGGGATTACAGGCGTGAGCCACCATACCTGGCCTTGTTTTCTCATTTTGAAAATATCTTACCCTTCTTTTTTTGGAAGGGAGAAGCTACATTATCGCTAATACAGTTTTATCATTTTTCTTGCCTTCATTGAAACCTTTAATGGCTCCCCATTGCCTATAGAATGTCTACGTTTTGCAGCAAGGTTTATAAAACTCTTTACAACTTGCCCCAGTTTACAAACTTTTGCTGCCTTATGCCAAAATACTACTACTATATGGTATTATGTGCAGTCTCAGACTATATTTATTCTTTAAATATACCACACATTTTCACAGCTGTTTTGTTCATGTTATTTCCTCTACCTAGAAGGCTTTTTACTTTGTTCTGGAAAATATATACTTATCCTTCTAGTCTGGCTGAGAGGGACAGTTCTCTATGTAACTTCTCAACTCCCTCTCCCCTGCAAAGTGGTTACCCATTTAATGGTAGAAAACATCTTACTTACATTTTATCTGCTATGTTTTCCATAGGCTGTGAAATAATAAGTGCTTAGTAAATGTATATTTTAGCATAGAGCAGGGGATGGCAGATTTTTTTCTTAAAGAGCCAGATAGTAAATATTTTCTCTGTTATAACTACCCAACTCTGTGATGATGGTGCAGAGGCAGCTGTAGACAATATGTAAATGAGTGGATGTGGCTGTATTCCAATAAAACTTTACTGACAGAAAAAGCTGATGGGTGCTGTATTTTGCTGACCAAGGCATAGAGTAAGCAAAGAATATGATGCAAATATTTACTGAATATTTTGTTTACTCTTTTATTGAATTAGGAAGGTATAGATTTAATATTCAGTTTTGCTCTGAAATTTTTATAATTGCTCTTATGGAATGCTTTTTATCATGTAAGTATTGGATGTGGTTTACTTTAAATAATGGTATATCAGAAGCTAGTAGGGAATTTTTGTTGAATGAACAGTTACTAGTCTGTCTCTAGGGATGATCACTGCTCAAATAAGTCAGATTTTTATTTATTAATTATACCTAGAATGTATCCAAATTATTTTATCAATACAGTAATAAAATAGTCCATCTTGAAATAGTTTTTTAAATTACAGATAATCTTAGAATTAATAAGTTTGCTTTACTAAGGCAAATATGTCTTTCACATTTATGTTATTACTATTCCTTTTTCTGTCTCATTAAACACTTTGTTATTAACAAATTCTTTGAAAAGTGTTAACTAGCACGTTTTGGGGAAGTTCAATTCTATGTTTATTGGATGGAGCTTTGCTTCAAAGCATCTGAACTTTTGAGTTATTTTTACTTTTGAGTGAGAATCTAGGGTACATGATTGTGAAGCTAGATTTCAATCTTATTGTATCAAGGATGGTATTTTTTTTTGTGTAAGTTAATTTAGATTTTTAAGTTTTTTTCCAATGCCTTCATTCTGAAAATGATACATGAATGTAGCAAGATCACATAAAATTGGAGTCCATGAAAAAATAGTAAAGCAATAGGAAAATACAGATGAGGAAAGAGAGAGAACAAAGAAGATGGCAGTATGTAAAAAGGAAGTCCTGTAAGGCATATTTTACTGATGTGTAGTAAGGAAAAGTGTATGTGAAATATGTTTAGAATTTAGAGTATGTGTAGAGTTGTTCCAGATGGGCAGCCAGAGAAGGCTGTGTGGAGGAAATATTCAGTCTAGTCTTTTTAAAGATGTGAGTATGGAAGCAAAAGAGCCTTCCCACTTCAGACTATGGTGGAGGCATGGAAACCTGTGCAGGACACAGCGTGAACTGAACTATGAGAACACTTAATGACTTTCCAAGTGCTGTACAAATATAATGTAATATTGACCAGGATTGAAGTGCCTAAAAGTAAATGACCCAATGAAATTCTTACTGATTTCATGAAACAAATGTTAGGCAATATTTTTGTTTAATTTCTGCGTCCTGTAAATTAATTCTGAGGACTGTGTTTTGGCAGTGACTGTTGAAGTGAAGGGTCCCTATGAATACCTCACGCTTGAAGACTATCCCTTGATGATTGTAAGTGACTTTATATTATTTAACCTCAGTATTGAATGGTTTCGGGTTCGAAGATTGTCCCATATTTTGTGGCAGTATTCTTTTTAATGAATTGTTCCTATGCAATTCAGAAAATGTTGCTTGTAGTCCTGGATTTATTTCTTATTAGACTGGGACTTTGAGAGAGTCAATACCCTTGTGTGCCTCATTTTCTTATCCATATAATGAAGGGGTCAGTGACCTGTGGAAATACCTCAAAGGTCATCTCACATTCTCTCTAGGATCCATAGTGGGGCACTTTTTACTACAACTCTGTCGTTTCTGATCCCACTTACATTAACTAAATGAGGCTGGGTACCCTGGCTCATGTCTGTAATCCCAACACTTTGGGAGGCTGAGGCAGGCAGATCACTTGAGGTCAGGAGTTCGAGACCAGCCCGGCCAACATGGTGAAACCCCGTCTGTACTAAAAATACAAAAACTAGCTGGGTGTGGTGGTAGGTGTCTGTAGTCTTAGCTACTTGGGAGTTTGAAGCAGGAGAATTGCTTGAACCCAGGAGGCAGAGGCTGCTATGAGCCAAGATCGTGCCAGTGTACTCCAGCCTGGGCGACAGAGTGAAACTGTCTCAACAAAAAATCCCAGCACTTTGGGAGGCCGAGACGGGCGGATCACGAGGTCAGGAGATCGAGACCATCCTGGCTAACACGGTGAAACCCCGTCTCTACTAAAAAATACAAAAAAACTAGCCGGGCGAGGTGGCGGGCACCTGTAGTCCCAGCTACTCGGGAGGCTGAGGCAGGAGAATGGCGTAAATCCGGGAGGCGGAGCTTGTAGTGAGCCGAGATCCGGCCACTGCACTCCAGCCTGGGCGACAGAGCGAGACTCCGTCTCAAAAAAAAAAAAAAAAATTAGCTAAATGATGAAGCTCCCTTCTCTTCATTTTATGTGTGTACATGTGCACATACATGTATGTGTACATACGTCTGTGTCTCAGAATATCCTTTTCTTTTTTTTGTTTTGTTTTTTGTTTGTTTGAGACGGAGTCTCGCTTTGTTGCCCAGGCTGGAGTAGTGCAACGGCGCGATCTCGGCTCACTGCAACCTCCGCCTCCTTGGTTCACGCCATTCTCCTGCCTCAGCTTCCCAAGTAGCTGGGACTACAGGCGCCCTCCACCACACCCGGCTAATTTTTTGTATTTTTAGTAGAGACGGGGTTTCACCATGTTAACCAGGATGGTCTCGATCCCCTGACCTCATGATCCGCCCATCTCGGCCTCCCAAAGTGCTGGGATTACAGACATGAGCCACCACGCCCGGCCTCAGAATATCCTTAATATATTTTTGCTTTCCTTTGTTCATAATTATTCTCTTCTTCCTTACCCTTTAATCGTTTTCTTATTTTGTTGTGTTTCCTTGCCTCTAGATGTATCCTAATCATGCCATTTTTCTTCTTCAGTGTTGTCTTCATCTACATAATTTAGATCGTGAGCTGAAATAGCTCCTTTTAAAAAAAAAAAAAGAAAGAGAATCTCACTCTGTCTCCCAGGCTGGAGTGCAGTGGCATGATAATGGATAATGGCTCACTGCAGCCTTAAACTCCAGGCTCAAGCTACCCTCCACCTTAGCCTCTCGAGCAGCTAAGACAACAGGCGTGTGCCACTATGCCTGGCTAATTTTTATTTTATTTTATTATTTTTTATCTTGAAATGTAGTCTCACTCTGTCACCCAGACTGGAGTGGAATGACCCGATCTCGGCTCACTGCAACCTCCAGCTCCCGGGTTCAAGCGATTCTCCTGCCTCAGCCTCCTGAGTAGCTGGGACTACAGGCGTGAGCCACCATGCCCAGCTAATTTTCATATTTTTAGTAGAGGCAGGGTTTCACCATGTTTTGGCCAGACTGGTATTGAACTCCTAACCTCATGTGATCTGCCCGCCTCTGCCTCCCAAAGTGCTGGGATTATAGGCATGAGCCACCATGCCTGGCCTAATTTTTATTTTTTGTAGGGACAGAGTCTTGCTATGTTGCCCAGACTGGCCTTGAACTCATGACCTCAAGCAGTCCTGCCTCAGCTTCCCAAGGCGCTATTACAGGTGTGAATTACCACGCCTGACCAGAAAAAGCTCTTTTACTATAGGAGAGCAGGCTGAGTGCGCTCTATATATACCATACATGTGTGTATGTGTATGATAGTACCTTTTATATGGTATGCATATGTGATACATATGTATGTATACACACATACATGTATATGAGAGCATTCGCTCTCGATGACAAGTTCCTATGTAGTCTTCTCTGCTCAAGACAAGATAATTTTTCATATTAGTTAGTGTTAAGCTCCAAAGGAATAATTATTTTTTAACTAGAAGGTAGAATATGTATATTTTTATAACTTGTTAAGACTGTATATTGATTCAGGACAGGCACTGTGGCTTATGCTTGTCATCCTAACACTTTGGGAGGCAGAGATGGGAGGATTGCTTGAACCCTGAAGTTCAACACCATCCTGGGCAACATAGCAAAACCCCATCCCTTTAAAAAAAAAAAAATAGTATATATACAGACTTGACTCTTGGTTCTAATTCTCCTTTTTATCTTTTACCCAATTTGATAACAGTTTTTCATGGTGATGTGTATTGTATATGTCCTGTTTGGTGTTCTGTGGCTGGCATGGTCTGCCTGCTACTGGAGAGATCTCCTGAGAATTCAGTTTTGGATTGGTGCTGTCATATTCCTGGGAATGCTTGAGAAAGCTGTCTTCTATGCAGAATTTCAGAATATCCGATACAAGGGAGAATCTGGTAAGTAACCAAAAAATCTTTGCCGGTTCGAGTGGTTGGAAGCTGAGATGTGTAAAAATATTCCTAAGGTCAGCAGTCACTAAACAGGCTTAACTTTTCAATTACTTAATTATTGCAATAACTTAAGCAGAATCACTATGATTCTGACTTTTGTTTTTAATCTTATGAGTTCAGTGATGCAGTGATGTAAGAGTAATTTTACTGAAATATGCTCACAAAAGTCACAACAGTAGTGGCCACTTTGGGAATAATTATTAACATCATCAAATCTCAATTTCCATTGATTTCTAAGGCACCATTATCCATCTGAGAAAGTAAACCGTGTCAATTTAATTGTAAAATGTCATTGATTGTAAGACACACCTTGATTTAAAAAACCTCAAAATGTGGTGGGAAAGTGCATCTAATTGATAAAATATAGTCATCTCAAGAAAATAGGAGGGTGCTTATGGTTTAGTAAGGTGAACTGGTAATGACAGAAGTTGTTTTATACTGTAGTTTTTTGTGATTGCTTTGGTTTTTTTCTTGTCAGACCATTTAATTTAGTCATAATCATTATTGTGAGATAAACTGATAAGATTTTCCCTGGTCCTTGAAAGGTCTTAAAAATAGTAGATCTGAAAATGAGTTAAACTATACATGCCAACAAGTGTGTACACGAGTGTGTTTTATGCTTTTCTATGTGTAGCTGTATTTCACAGTTTTTAAAAATGGGGGAAGTTGTCTTGATGCTACAAACTCTCCATATAGGGTGAGGTATTCTGTTAAAGTTTTAGTGAATTTGGGGGCAGGTGGGGGAGGGAGCTGAGTTGAGCATACTCAGATTGCCATACATACACATGAGTAAGATTGTGAGTGGTATCAGCTTGTATACTGTAAAAGCTGCAGAAGAGGTATTCTATTTTAGCAGAACTAATATCAATGCTTACTCTGAAGAGTGTGGAAATCAGCAGTCTAGTATTGGCATCTTGCCTGTTGCCAAACTTAGGTTATGGTGCCATTTCTCCTCTTCTTTTTCATAGTCCAGGGTGCTTTGATCCTTGCAGAGCTGCTTTCAGCAGTGAAACGCTCACTGGCTCGAACCCTGGTCATCATAGTCAGTCTGGGATATGGCATCGTCAAGTAAGTATTAACTTCCTGTATGGAAGAGCAAATTTAAATGCTGATTAAATTAAAACAGTACTGCATGTTCCTGATGTAGTAGTTCTGAAATAGTTGATAAAAGAAATAATTCTGGCCGGGTGCGGTGGCTCACGCCTGTAATGCCAGCACTTTGGGAGGCCGAATCACGAGGTCAGGAGATCGAGATCATCCTGGCTAACACAATGAAACCCGGTCTCTACTAAAAATACAAAAAATTAGCTGGGCGTGGTGGCAGGCGTCTGTAGTCCCAGCTACTCGGGAGGCTGAGGCAGGAGAATGGCGTGAACCCGGAAGGCGGAGCTTGCAGTGAGCCAAGATCGTGCCACTGCACTTCAGCCTGGGCGACACAGCGAGACTCCGACTCAAAAAAAAAAAAGAAAGAATTCTGAAACAAGAAAGGTATCTGAAATTTTGTTGCCTTGTAAATGTTGGGAAAATGTTTGTTTCATTTCACTTCCTAGGAGGAGCATCTGCAGGAAAACTTAGAGCAAATAAGATTGAAACACCAGACTTTTATAGTAAACTTACAGTGACTTTATAGTTCCAAAATATTTTTTGCAAATTAGATTTTTTATGGGAAAGTCATTCTTGCTGTAACTGAAAATATTTTTCTATCCAAAAAATTTTATTTTTATTGAGTGTCTTCTCTAGGCATTCTTCGAGGCATTGTTCCAGGCCCTGGGGATATAGCAAGTAAACAGAAGATTTTGAGCTTACATTTGTGGAGGGAGGGGACAAAGACAAAATTTAAGTGAGTAAAATATTTTAATATGTCAGTGAAAAGTGCAGTGGAGCAGGTAATGCCGGAGCTAGAGCTTGCAGTTGTATATAGGGTGATCAAGGAGGGCTTCACTTAATAACATTTAAGCAGAGACTTCAAGGAGGTGAGGAAGCTATATGTATACCCAAGGGAAGAGATGCTGAGTAGAGATCAGATTCTAGATATATTTTTGAAGGTGGAACCAGTGGAATTTGCTGATGGATCAGATGTGTGATGTGAAAGAGAAGAAGAATTAAGGATGATGCCAACTGTTTTGATCTGATCACATGGCAGGATGGAATTGAAGATTTACTGATTTCAGGAAGACCTTAGGTGAAATAAGTGTGGAGCAGGGGCAAGATTGGAGTTCAGTTAGATAACTAAGTAGGGGAAACAAAGGGGAGAGGTTGAGGCAGAGAGAAAAGTTTGGGAGTCATGAAGATACAGATATTTAAAGTCATGAGGGCCAGGCATGGTGGTTCATGCCTGTAACACTTTGGGAGGCCAAGGCAGGCAGATTGCCTGAGGTCAGGGGTTCAAGACCAGCCTGGACAACACAGTGAAACCCTGTGTCTACTAAAATACAAAAAATTTGGTGGGTATGGTGGCATGTGCCTATAGTCCCAGCTACTTGGGAGGCTGAGGCAAGAGAATCGCTCGAATCCTGGAGGTGGAGATTACAGTGAGCCAAGATCACGCCACTACACTCTAGCCTGGGTAACAGAGCGAGACTCTGTCTCCAAAAATAAATAAGTAAATAAATAAGGTCGTGAGACTGGATTTGGTCACCAAGTAAGTGAGTATATATAGAGAAGAGGTTCAAGGGCTGGGCCCTTGAATATTTAATATTATTTAGAAGTCTGTAAGATGAAGTAGTTAGCAGAAGAAATTGAGGAGTGACCAGTGAGGTGGGTAGAAAACTGAAGAATGTGTTTCAAGGAGGAAGTGATTGTGTCAAGCGATCCTGATAGGTCAAGTGAGAATTGGCCATTGAGTTTACCTACATGGAGGGTCGTAGTGAACCATCACAGGAATAGTTTTGGTGAAGTGATAGGTACAAAAGCCCAACTGGGGAGAGTTCCAGAGAGAATAAGAGGAGAGGAATTAGAATATTTGTATAGACAATTATTTAAAGGAATTTTGCTTTGAGTGGGATTAATTGATGCTCTAGCTATAGCATCACTTTATAGTGCTTAAGTAGGATTAAGGTTAGTTGTTTTAAGTTTGTTTATTTAAAGGAGTTTTGCTTTAAATGGGATTAGAGATATGGGGAATTTTAATTCTTAAAACTTATTTATTTGACAATTATTTGAGTGCCTCCTATATGCCAGGAAGTATTCTAGGTTTCCAAGATGAATGGGGAGAAAATTCCCTGCTCATATGGAGTTTTCCCCAATGTATAACAAAAAATATAAGAACAAATATTGGTAAGGCCTATGCAGACATGATTTAAGGCAGCGCATCTTAAACTACACTACACTAAGGAATCACCTAAGGATTTTGTTAACATGTGGATTCTGGTTGTGTAGGATTTTGAATCTCAAGGATGTAAGACTTTTTCTCCTTCAAACAGAAGTTCCTCAGAAGACTTTTCATATATTAGGTTGCAAGCTTGCAAATATACTATTTAGTGAACTGTAATCAGATATTTGATTATATTAAGGAATTGTTAGAATTTTTAGATTTGATAGTGGTATTTTGGTGGTGTTTTTTAACAGTTTCTTTTGTGGGCCGGGCACAGTGGCTCATGCCTGTAATCCCAGCCCTTGGGGAGGCCATTGCAGGAGAATCACTTGAGCCTAGGAGTTCTAGACCAGCCTGAGCAACACAGTGAGACCTTGTCTCTACAGAACATTAAAAAAAAAAAAAAATTAGCCGGGTGTAGTGGGACTTCCCTGTAGTCCTCAGCTACTCAGGAGGCTGAGGTGGGAGGGTTGCTTGAGCCCAGGAGTTCACGGCTGCAGTGAGCTGTGACTGGGCTGCTGCACTTCAGCGTGGGCGACAGAGTCAGACTCTGTTTCTTTAGGAGATAAAAAAGAAAGGCCCTTTTGTAGCCATTGAAATACCAAAGAAAAATAAAGTCCTCATTTATTAAAAACATACTGAAATATATCAAAGATATGCTGTCTAGGATTTGCATCAAGAGAATATGAAAGGGTGGAAAGTGGATGGGGTATGCATGGGACAGAATTGACCATAGGTTGGTGGTTGGACCTCAGTGAAGGGTTTATAAGGGTGCATTATACTACTTGTGAATATGCTTCAAAAACTCTCCAAGGAAACTTTTTTTAAAATGTGGTAACCAGACACCAGATCTTAAGTTATAGTGTTCCCTATCTTGTTTTAAGACCATAAGGTCTTAGTTTTTTTCTCTTAGGTGATTCAAGTGTATATTGTTTATTGCTTTAAATTGTTGGTCTATATTAATTAACACAAGTTCCTGTTACTTAGCTTGTTTTGGGATTTGTCCCACATGTACTCAAATATCTCTTTGCTTCCTCTTTAGGCCACGCCTTGGAGTCACTCTTCATAAGGTTGTAGTAGCAGGAGCCCTCTATCTTTTGTTCTCTGGCATGGAAGGGGTCCTCAGAGTTACTGGGGTTAGTACTGCTTAATCTCATTTTCTGTGGTCAGTTCAATTATATTGTTTACATCTTGACAGTGTGAGTCGGAAATGTCTGTGGTCTTCTTTCTGTTTGCTTTACGTCACTTTTGGGCTCTGAGTCTCAAAATATATGTATAGTTCATGTTTTCTTTTTAATCTATTAGAGCTTTGTAAATTTAATGTGTGCCCGGGATGAATGCTTTTCCACCTGTCTCCAAATTGGTAATTGTTTTAGTTCCTCCTCCCGAGCAGTGGACTTGCATTTTTTTTGTTTTTTCTTTTTCTAATCGATGGAATCCAGACTGAAATTCTTATATAAATGGCAGACTTTGGAGTCATGCACTTACTAGTTAATCTAATCTAAAGTAACTGTTGTTTCTTAATCAACATTGGAGTTTCAAAAACTTCCTTAAAATGCAGCTGATGAGGCCTGGTATGTGGCTCACGCCTGTAATCCCAGCACTTTGGGAGGCCAAGGCGGGCGGATCATGAGGTCAGGAGATCGAGACCATCCTGGCTAACATGGTGAAACCCTGTCTCTACTAAAAAAAAAATACAAAAATTCAGCCGGGCGTGGTGGCAGGCGCCTGTAGTCCCAGCTACTTGGGAGGCTGAGGCAGAAGAATGGCGTGAACCCGGGAGGCGGAGCTTGCAGTGAGCGGAGATCATGCTGCTGCACTCCAGCCTGGGCAACAGAGCAAGACTCCATCTCAAAAAAAAAAAAAATGTAGCTAATGAAGTTTCACACCATTTTTGAGAATTGTAAAATTATTCCCTTTGCCAGGGAAGGAAACCAAAGCACTGAGATACAAGTGATAAAGAAATTTATGGCTGGGAGCGGTGGTGGGCGCCTGTAGTCCTGGCTTCTTGGGAGGCTGAGGTGGAAGGACTGATTGAGTTCAGGCTGCAGTGAGCCATGATCATGCCATTACACTCCAGCAACAGAGTGTTACCTCTTCCTTAAAAAAGAGAAGAGAAGAAATTTATGTTACCGCTGGATTAATACGAAGAAGTAGGGTTCTCTAGGCCATTTCAATTAATTTTCTTATTTTCTTTTCTTTTTTTTTTTTTTTGAGACGGAGTCTCACTCTGTCACCCAGGCTGGAGTGCAGTGGCCAGATCTCAGCTCACTGCAAGCTCCGCCTCCCAGGTTCACTCCATTCTCCTGCCTCAGCCTCCCGAGTAGCTGGGACTACAAGCGCCCGCCACCACGCCCGGGGAATTTTTTGTATTTTTAGTAGAGACAGGGTTTCACCGTGTTAGCCAGGATGGTCTGGATCTCCTGACCTCGTGATCCGCCCACCTCAGCCTTCCAAAGTGCTGGGATTACGGGCGTGAGCCACCACACACGGCAATTTTCTTATTTTTTAAAAAAAGTCAGACTCTGCAGCAACCTATTAGATTCAATATTGCAAATACTATAAACTTGGCTTTGCCCACAAGGAAAGTGGGCTCCATATGTTTTGCAATAAATTGCCTCTTAAATAAAACACTTTGTGGATGCAAATTTACTTTTCAAATCACACTGTCCTCTGTGTGTAATTTTCTTAGACTTTTAGCAACTTTAACCCTCTGTTAATTTCATTTTCTTTCTTCTGCTGTTGCTATAGTATTTTTCTTATCCCTTGACTCTGATAGTAAAGCTGGCCCTCTCAGCAATTGATGCCTGTGTTATTTTATGGATATCCTTTCAATAATGCCTGTTGATCGGGTAATTAGGGTTATATAAAAAACATACTCCATATAAACTCCTGGAAACATGCAGCGTAGTTTTTCAGACAGATAATTGCCTTACATTTTATTTTGGGGTGAGCTCTTATTTGTAAAATCTTGTATTACAGTTTTGGAAATTAATAATTCTTTGTATATGATGCAGCAATATTTTGTAAATATGAGAAAAGTCTTTTCAGACTTGTAGCCAAAATCGCAATGATAGGAAATGATAGGTTAAGGATGGGACTTACAAACATTAGGACTTTTTTGGAATATGGTCACTTGTTAACATGGATCTTTATAATGAAAAACTCATAGTTAGCAGTATGTTTCAAGATTGTAACTGACAATTTATGTGAAATGCTAATAGCCGTATATTTTACGTGATGGTTTATAAGAAGGGAAGAATGATTAGGTGTCAAGTGTTCTTTTTATTTTCTTTATGCAAAAACATTCCGGTGATTATGTAAATGCAGAATCATGTGGTGGTTCTTCTCTGTGCCTCTCTAGACATCTGTTTTTCATCACTTCTTTTTCTTTGTCTGCAGGCCCAGACTGATCTTGCTTCCTTGGCCTTTATCCCCTTGGCTTTCCTAGACACTGCCTTGTGCTGGTGGATATCCTTCTCATTGGCTTGTTTGATGACGGTCCATTTTCTCCCCTTGGAGATGGGTTTCCGTTGATCTTTCTGCAAAGAGTTTTTATCAGTTTTGTTGATTACTCCTTAGCGTGGGGAATAGTGCATGCTAAGTCTTAACAACTTGAGGGTTCAGGTAAGCAGTTTTTTTGTTTTTATTTTTTTAATTTTAAAAATCAAATTGGAAATCGGTGACTGTGGACCGAGCTCAAGATAAAAGCTTTTGGCTTTTTTCTTTTAAATGAGCATTTCGTCTTGATTTTGCACTTGTTATTTGTATACCTAATCATTTAGTGTTAGAATCACTGGCTGTGCTGGTCCTGCTCTGCCTTTTAGTCTCTAGCAATTCTTAAATGCTTTGAAACTTATAAAACGATTTTGATCCTTAAAATTTGATTTCAGGAACTATGTGACGTGCTTTGACTCTTCTGAAACTCTGTGTAGGTTCAGTAGGTTTTAACCCTCATGGAGTGAGTGTTTTGTTGCCTCATTCAAAAGCTGACTTGGAATTGTTTGAAGATTTCCACCCTTTAGAATAAATAATTGGTTCATTTACAGGCAGAGTCAACCAGCAGATAACAAACAAGCTTCTATTTGAGCAATCTTATTCTCCTGCTCTTTAAAATTAAATTTATTTATTAGGGACTTGGCCTGATGGCTAAAGGATTCAAGTTTTTGGACTTTATCTTATATTGAATTTGTTTTGGTTATTATATATTTGGTCCTATTTGCAGTTTTCATTATTACTGACCTGATAGATTGTGACTGTTGAAAAACTGTGAATGTAAACAAAATTGTTTTGTGAATTTGAGTGGGTTGCCATATAAGAGTTTTCAAAAGTGTCCTCAGTCTAAATAGCCAAAGCTTTTCTAGATTAGTATCTTTCCAAGTGTTTTGTGAACCTCTACAAGCATTGAGAGAAGAGGGAGGTGGGAATGGATTGTGCAGTAAGATAACCCAATGATTAGGTAACAGCTAAGGCTCTGTAAGAGAAGAGCAAATGTCAAATCTCTTATTTTTGTATCTGCTTCTCATTCTGAAAATTGAGCCAGGTGCAGTGGCTCATGCCTGTAATCGCAGGACTTTGGGAGGCTAAGGTGGGCAGATTGCTTTAAGCTCAGGAGTTTGAGACCAGCCTGGGCAACATGGCAAAGCCCTATCTCTACAAAAAATACAAAAATTAGTCGAGCATGGGGCTTGCACCTGTAGTCCCAGCTGCTGGGGAAGCTGAAGCAGGAGAATTGCTTGAGCCCTGGAAGCGGAGGTTGCAGTGAGCCAAGATCGCACCACTGCACTCCAGCCTGAGTGACAGAGTGAGACCCTGAGACCCTGTCTCAAAAATAAAAGAAAATTGAACCTGAGAGCAGATACCATTTTTAGTACTCACCAGTTCCCCTCCTGTTTTTCTCTGGCAACTTACTACTTGAGAATAATGTTCTGAAAATGGAGAGTCATTGCTTTTGGAAGCAAACCGTATGAGCTTCTCAACCAGTTGTAAGGTCCTTTTAATTCAGGATAGTGTAGGCAACTGATGGCAAGTTCCTTAAGATGGCATGAGGGGGCTGAGTATAGATCTCTGGGATATTATAGGCATGAGTGTAATGATGACCCTCGACTAGATTTGCTGGACAGATGAGAACAGAGCTACCCGCCTTAAAGGGAGAGAGAAGATGATGTTAACTCTCTGTCCCTTGCCTATTACTCATGTTCACTTTATCTTCTACCATTTCCCTTTCTATTTATTTTCTTTTTTTGTTTCTCTAGAAAGCCTCTTCCTGTCTTTCTCTTTTTTATATTTTTTTCTCTTGTGATTTTGTACGTTCTTTCTTTATCCTGGTCTGTCTCCTCTTTAATGTCTCATTGAAAATGATGACTTTCGGCCAGGTATGGTGGCTCATGCCTGTAATGCCAGCACTTTGGGAGGCCAAGGCAGGAGGATCAGTTGAGGCCAGGAGTTTAAGACCAACCTGAGCCACATAGCGAGACCTTATCTCTACAAAAAAAATTAAAAATCAGCCAGGCATGGTGGCGCATGCCTGTAGTCCCAGCTGCTTGGGAGGCTGAGGTGAGAGGATTGCTTGAGCCTCAGTGGTGGGCAAGGCTACAGTGAGCCGTGATTGTGCCACTGCACTCTAGCGTGGGCTAGACCCTGCCTCACAAAAAAAAAGGAAAAGAAAAGAAAATGACGACTTTCTTATTAATCTTGAGGTGTTTGTGAGATTAAGTGAGAATAAGAGAGCTATAAGGCCTCTGAGAGATCTATAAGTTTATTAGCATGACCCCAGATCCTCAAAGAAACCTGAAAACTAATTGGCTAGCTTACTGTTTTTTCCTGAATGTTGAATTCCTTGACCTGCAAACACATATTTATTAGCCTGACTCAAACAATGAAGCTATTAAAACTTCGGAGGAACATTGTAAAACTCTCTTTGTATCGGCATTTCACCAACACGCTTATTTTGGCAGTGGCAGGTAAGTCTGGGACTGACTTCTTGGAGTTCAAATGTGATCTGTTTAGAATGGAGATTCTTAACCTGAAAGGCCATGGGTAGGCATAGAAAGTTTTGTATATTTCACTTGGAAAAGGATTCTTAGCTCTTGCCAAATTCTCAGAAGGATCTATGGTTTTAAAGAAGTTGAGAACCATTTATTTTTTCATACAGTAGCTGGAAATCAACCTCGTATTTCAGCTCTTCATTTATCCGTCTTCTATTTGCATTCTTTCTTGAGGCATTCTTTGTCTTGAGGTTAGTTAGCTTAAGTGCCAGAGAGTGCTCCTTTTAGAAGACATTACCACATGTTTGTTTAGTTTTATTAAGTAGTTGTAGAATTTTAGATTAGGGTACATTGCTATTATAGTGCTTTTCCATATGTCAGCAAGCCTATGTAAGAAATTGAGATTAGGTGGACTGTAACCAAACTAGGCTAATTTGCCTACCTCATTACCCTTGTACCAGGAATAGTGAGGTCTGATTTATGATTGGAACTAGCTCTTCTGCTTGTGTTACAGTCGTTTTATCAGCCTTTTTTTTTTTTCATCTGACCAGCTAAAGAAAAATTAGCATTACTATACTAGGGATAAAAGGAGAAAAAAAATGATGTTGATAATGGTGGAAGGAGCTGTATTTCCAATACCTTATTTTCCAACCACGATGGTTACTGATGTGGTAGATGGCAAATAAAATTATTACCAAATTATCCTTTAAATACAGAAAGGATTGGCCAGAGTATGTATCATGAGCCTTGCTGATAGCAGGTATACAGTACATTTGTATTGAATACACTTGTTACAATAACTCATAGAATTGTGATATATTTGGTAGTTTTGGGTGTGTGGGATTCCACTTAACCAGAAATGGGGGAATGTAATTGGGGATGTAAACCAGCATTCATACTCTGACCTGGTTTTTCATTTACCGTTAGCATCTATTGTGTTTATCATCTGGACAACCATGAAGTTCAGAATAGTGACATGTCAGTCGGTGAGTTATAAGCACATTTATGAATAATGTACTGTCTTATAAACAGCTGATGATGATAATGACAGTAGTAAGGTTCTTCTGAGTTACATACCTTATAAAAAATTAGAGCTAGGTCTCTACTCTGAGGGTTGTAATACTTCCCTCCTCCTAAATATTCTGTACTATCATGGTGCTTGGTATAGTAGATAGTTTTTTGTTTATCTGACTGTATTCTCCCAGTTTTGGGAGAGAATTTTGTAAGTTATAACTACAGTATGCTACAACCCAGTCTTACTTTAACTAAAAATCTTAAGAAGTCCAGAGTACTAAATATTAAGTACCATATGTGTAAATAATACTAACCTGAATAGAAGCCACGTCTTTAAGATCTGAGCTCAAACACTGTGGCCAATAGGATTTCTTTAGAAACAGCTAAGGCTCTATTTTGTTAAAAATAAATAAATAAATGAAAATGAAAATTATAAAGTATACCAACCTAATGTAACTTTCCCTTACCCTGTATAAGGTAACTTTCTCTTACCCTGTATAAAACCCTTTCTTAAAGCTTCTCAGAGGGATGACGAAGCTTTGACAAATACTCTGTTCTGTTGATGCATTTTCTTTAACAACAGTAAGCACTACAAGGGCAAAAACTACATTCATTCACTTTGTTTCCCCACCCTTACCACAGTATTAAGCACATAGCAGGCTCTTAGTAAACATAACTTGAATGAACAAATACGTGATTTTTGTTCTATGCCAAAGGCTTTATGAACAAGGGGTTAAGATAAGGTTTATAAATGTTGTACTTCTCCCCCGTATTGTAGGACTGGCGGGAGCTGTGGGTAGACGATGCCATCTGGCGCTTGCTGTTCTCCATGATCCTCTTTGTCATCATGGTTCTCTGGCGACCGTCTGCAAACAACCAGAGGTTCTTGGACTCTTCTGTTTACTCTGCTAACATGAGATGACCATGTCATCAACTAGGGGTGGTGCATTGGGAGACAGTATCAGGGCTGTGTCATATAGTGGAAGGAACACTGGGCCTGGAATCAGAAGAACTGGGTTCCTATCTCAGCTCTCCTCTTAACTTCACGATTTTTGGCATGTGGCCTCTCCACCTCTCTGGCCTTAGTTCCCTTTCTATATAATGAGGGGAAATTAAACCCAGCAACATGAAGTTCCTTTCAGCTCTGACATTTTGTGATAAATACACAGGCATGCTATGGAGATAAATTGCAAGTTTGGTTTCAGACCATCACAATAAAGCAGATACTGAGTTACATGCATTTTTTGTTTTTTCCAGGGCATATCAAAGTTATGTTTACACTATTCTATAGTCTAATGTATGCAATAGCATTATGTCTAAAAAATGTACACACCTTAATTTAAAAACACTTTATTGTTAAAAAAAAAAAGAAAGAAAAAAAATGCTGACACGGGCTGGGCGTGCTGGCTCACGCCTGTAATTCCAGCACTTTGGGAGGCCGAGGCAGTCGGATCACCTGAGGTCAGGAGTTCGAGATCAGCCTGACAACCGTGGTGGAACCCCGTCTCTACTAAAAATACAAACATTAGCTGGGTGTGGAGGTGGACGCCTATAATGCCAGTTACTTGGGCACCTGAGGCAGGAGAATCGCTTAAACCTGGGAGGCAGAGGTTGCAGTGAGCCGAGATCATGCCACTGCACAGCATAAGTGACAGAGCGAGACTCCATCTCAAAAAAAAAAAATGCTGACACACAAAGTGAGCACATTATTGTTAGAAAATGGCACCAATAGACTTCCTTGATGCAGGATTGCCACAAAATCTGGGAAGCACAATAAAATGAAACACCATAAAACCGAGTATGCCTGTAAGTATTTGTATAGTAAACAAGGGAGATAGATATATCATCTATTGTGTCAACTGGGCACAGTGGCTCATGCCTGTAATCCCAGCACTTTGGGAGGCCAAGGTGACATGAATCCAGGAGTTTGAGACCAGCTTGACCAACATGGCAAAACCCCACCTCTAATAAAACTACAAAAATTAACCGAGCATGGCAGTGCATACCTCTAATCCCAGCTCCTCCGGAGGCCGAGGCACAAGAATCGCTTGAACCCGGAAGCGGAGGTTGCAGTGAGGCGAGATGGCGCCACTGCTCTCCAGCCTGGGTGACAGAGTGAGACTCTGTCTCAAAGAAAAAAAAAGATATAATTGTGTCACTTATACTGAGTCTCTCCTGTCTAGTGTCTAGAAGGAAAGAAAACTTCTGTAACCAGCAGCCCAGCTCACTTTGTAATGATAGAAAGGGTAAAACTAAAACTTAGATAACCAGCTTTGAAATTAAAAATCTATGTGTAAATTTGATTTGTCCAACTATAGGCAAATTTCAGACATTTAGGAACTGCCTATCTTTATTTTGTGAATATGCCTTTTTTCCCTCTTTTCCCCCCTCATTTGCATTTAGACGGTTAAGAGTTTATATTGAACACCCATACCACCAAAGAAGGAAAAGGATAACATGGTATAAACGACTAATTTTTTAACCACACTTACCAATGAAAGATTGAGATAGAAAATAGGTGAAATCCTTTTACTCGATGAAAATGGCCTTGCTGTCATTTCAAACTATGCAGTTTATATGTGTTTATCAAAAAAAGTCGAAGAATAGAGAAAAGTCATGAAGGAAAATAAAGGAGATCTGAAATCACACTATTGAGAAAGAACTTTTACATTCTGGAGACGCTTCTTTTATATCCGTCTATTGATCTATTGGTTACTCACTAGGTATACTTGTATTTAAATATTTTCCCTTCCTCAGTCATTAAAAAATTTTTGCATTACCTTCCCTCTTATTTTTTCTCCCCTTTTAAAACATTGCCCCCTTTCTCTGTGACTTCAGTGTTAACTGTATATTATAATGTGTCTTTTCCCTGTTCACTTATGGAATCTTCCATTACTCTTGTAACAGTACATTGTGGAGATTCCTTCCAGTGTAACAGGTTTAATTGAACTCATTCATTTTCATGGATAGCATAAATATGGGACATGTGTAGTGCAGTTACATTAACATATTCTCTTATTAATGGGCATTTGGGATATTTCCAGTTTGAGGTGTGTCTGGGTCCTCAAGACCATCCTAATGTTCAGCGATTTACTGGAAGGCCTCATGGGACACAGCATACAGTTATGCTTACAGTTAAGGTGTATTACAGCAAAATGGTCATAGCAGGTCTGTCTGGGGAAATCTGTATTTTCTTTCCTTGTGTTCTCTCTCTCTTCTGAGGAAGTACATCAAGTCAGTTCTTTTCCCCAGCAACAAAAATGTAGTAACACATTGTTTCTGTCCAGGAAAGCCCATTGATGTTCAGCACTCAAGATTTTTATTGAAATGTATTACCTCCTCCCAGCCAAATGTGTGACAGTATGCACAGACTACTGCCAACGAGGGAAACTGATTTGAGCTTTCAGTGTCCAGAGTTTTTACTAGGGCTCAATCACATACTGTCTCTATTGCTGACTTCTAGTTTCCAACCCCTCCTGGCAGTCAGGCTGATACCATTTCCTCTGGAGGTCAGAACTGATATGGCATGGCCCAAAGCCCCTATCATAAACCATACTGTTAGACTGTCAGCCAAAGTCCCCAGGCAAATAAAGACAGGACATTTTATGGGTGTAGAGATAACCTCACATTAGTCAATGAAGGTTAATTTCTCACTACACACTGGCACATGCTCAAGAAATACTTAATGAGTGGGCTTGGATTTGCTAGGTTGAAGGATATGTGTATTTGTAATTTTTAAAGTATTTCCAGGTTATATTCCCGAAAGAAACCTGAAGGAAATTTCATATTTAATAACAATGGTGTGAAAGGGGTTTTTTCTTCCCTCTTTTTATGTCCCATCATTTTATTTAATTTTTGCAGATTTAGTGGATGAGAATTAATATTGTTACTTTTTGTATTTAAGGTTGGATCTTTAGCTTATTTTTTATTGGCTTATTGATCATTGTCTCTGTCCATTTTCTGCTGCTATAACAAAATACCACAGACTGTTTATAATGAACAGAAATTTGTTGGCTAGCAGTGTCAGCATCTGGTGAGGGCCTTTTTACTGGATCGTCACATGACAGAAGGTGGAAGGGCAAAAGGGAGAGCCCACTCCAGAAAACCCTTTATATGACAGCATTAATTCATTCAGGAGAGTGGAGCCCTCATGACCTAAATGCTTTCCATTAGGCCCAACTCCCAACACTGTCACACTGGGAATTAGGTTTCAACATGAGTTTTGGAGGGGACAGACATTCAGACTGTAACAATCACTTATGTATTGATTCGTAGGAATTTATTTATTTTGAGATGGGGTCTCGCTCTGAAGCCAAGGCTGGAGTGTAGTGGAGCAACCTTGGCTCACTACAACCTCCACCTCCTGGGCTCAAATGATCCTCCCACCTCAGCCTCCCGAGTAGCTGGGACCACAGGTGTGCACCACCACACTAGGCTAATCTTTCTATTTTCTGTAGAGATGGGGTTTTGCCATGTGCCCAGGCTTGTTTCAAACTCCTGAGCTCCAGCGATCCACCCACCTTGGCCTCCCAAAACGCTGGGATTACAGGCGTGAGCCACCATACCAGGCCCAATTTGTAGGAATTTCTAATATATTTTGTATGCCAATATTTTGTTTGTTCTAAGTATTGCATATATTTTCTGCCAGTTAATTATCTTTTGATTTTTTAATGCTGTTTTCAATCATACAAAATCTCAGAAATATGGAGTTAGTTTTTCCCTTCAAGGATTGTACATTTTGCATCTTATTTTCGCAAATTCTTATCTAGCCTAAGGTGAGGTCAAAAAATTATTCTCTAATGACTTTTTAAAAATTTCACAATCAGGCCAGGCACGGTGGCTCATGCCTGTAATCCCAGCACTTTGGGAGGCTGAGGCGGCGGGTGGATAACCTGAGGTCAGGAGTTTGAGACCAGCCTGACCAACGTGATGAAACCTTATCTCTACTAAAAATGACAAAAATTAGCTGGACGTGGTGGTGGGCACCTGTCATCCCAGCTACTTGGGAGGCTGAGACAGCAGAATCGCTTGAACCCAGGAGGCAGAGGTTGCAGTGAGCTGAAATCGTGCCATTGCACTCTAGCCTGGGCAACACGAGTGAAACTTCGTCTCAAAAAAAAAAAAAAAAAATCACAATCAAGATGTTCATGCACCAAGAATTACTTGATTCTAGGCTCTCTACTCTCTTGTGTTCTGGTCCTGCGTCAGTAGCACACTGTCTAAATTACCCCAGGCTTCTGATAAATCGTGGTATGTGGAGGGCCTGAACCCTCTGATCATATTTATAAGTTTAGGCTTAGCTGCATACTATCTGGCTCTTTTAAAAATAGCTTTTGGGCTGGGCGCAGTGGCTCACGCCTATAATCCCAGCACTTTGGGAGGCCGAAGCGGGAGGATCACCTGAGGTCGGGAGTTCGAGACCAGTCTGACCAACTAGAGAAACCCCGTCTCTACTAAAAGTACCAAATTAGTTGGGTGTGATGGCGCATGCCTGTAATTCCATCTATTTGGGAGAGTGAGGCAGGAGAATTGCTTGAACCCGGGAAGGGGAGGTTGCAGTGAACTGAGATCGCGCCATTGCACTCTAGCCTGGGCAACAAGAGTGAAACTCCTCCTCAAAAAAAAAAAAAAAAAAAAAGCCTTTGGCCAGGTGTGATGGCTCACACCTGTCATTCCAGCACTTTGGGAGGCCGGGCTGGGAGGATTGCTTGAACCCAGGAGTTTGAGACCAGCCCTGGCAATATAGCAAGATCCCATTTCTACAAAAAAAAAAAAATTGTTTTAAGTTAGCTGGGCATGGTAGTGTGTGCCTGTAATCCCAGCTACTAGGGAGGCTGAGTTGGGAGGATCACTGGAACCTGGGATGTTGAGGCTGCAATGAGCCATGGTCATACCACTGCACTCCAGCCTGGGCAACAGAGCAAGACCCTGTCTCAAAAAAATTTTTGAAAAGCCTTTGGTGTTAAATTTTTGCCCTTTACTTAAAAAATTTTTTTATTTTGAATGGGGTCTTGCTATGTTGCCTAGGCTAGACTCAAACTTCTGGGCTCAAGGGATCCTCCTACCTCAGCAGCCTCAGTAGCTGAGACTAATGGTACATGTCACTACACTCAGCTTTTGGTTTTTAATAAAAAAAATTTAGGTTAATTCTAGGAAAACCTATTAAGATTTTGATTGGAACTTAATTGAATTAATGAATTAGGGAGATTATATTTTTTTGACAATTCCTTGACTATGGCATCTCTCCATTTTTTAGTCCTTGAATTATGTTTTGTAACTTCTGATTTAAATTTTTGTGGCTCTTATGAATGCAACCTTTAAAAATATGTACAGCTTTTCCAAATATGTAGGATGCTGTTGCCTCCCCCACTCACCTGTCTCTGTCTCTGTCTCCTTTCTTTCTTTTCTTGATGGAGTCTTGCTCTGTCGCCCAGGCTGGAGTGCAGTGGTACAGTCTTGGCTCACTGCAACTTTTGCTCCCCGGGGTCAAGGGATTCTCCTGCTTCAGCCTCCTGAGTAGCTGGGATTACAGGCACCTGCCACCATGCCCAGCTAATTTTTGTCCTTTTATTAGAGACGGAGATTCACCATGTAGGCCAGGCTGGTCTCAAACTCCTGACCTCAAGTGATCCATCCTCCTCAGCTTCCCAAAGTGCTGGGATTACAGGCGTGAGCCACCATGCCCAGTTTGCTTTTTTAATGTATATCATACCCAGCAACCCTCCTGTTACGTTGTTAGTTCTGATAATTTCCACATTTTCTTTTCAGATAGATTTTTGTCTAAAGTAATCATTACATGCTTCTTTCTTGCCAAATAATCTTCCTGCCTCAATGTTGATTCTTATATTACTAGCTTGGCTAAGCCCTCCTGTATAATATTGAATAGAGTCAATGACAGTGGGCCCTCTCATCTTACTCTGACATTAAATGCTTCTCAAATATCATCAACTATGATATTTACCATGGAATTTGTTACCCATTAACAAGTTATAGATACTCCCTTCTATTCCTAGTTTATTAAGAATTTTTATCATGAAAGGGAGTTTTAAAAGCAAGGTAGAATGAAAATGGTAATAAAATGGGAAATAATAGAGTGAGGTCAAAGCTAAAGCATTCAGCCGGGCGTGGTGGCTCATGCCTGTAATCCCAGCACTTTGGGAGACTGAGGCAGGCAGATCATGAGGTCAGGAGATCGAGACCATCCTGGCTAACACGGTGAAACCCCGTCTCTACTAAAAATACAAAAAAATTAGCCAGGTGTGGTGGCAGGCACCTGTAGTCCCAGCTAATCAGGAAGCTGAGGCAGGAGAATGACGTGAACCCAGGAGGCGGAGCTTGCAGTGAGCCGAGATCATGTCACTGCACTCCAGCCTGGGCAACAGAGCAAGACTCCGTCTCAAATGAATAAATAAATAAAAGCTAAAGCATTCTAGGAATTACATGTCTGGGAGCTGCTTTGCTGAATCTCTTGGAAGTTGTTAAGGAAAGGCATCTGAGATACACCAGATCAGACCTTCATTTTCTGAGCTTCCCACTTGTAGGCTGAAATTTTAAATTACCTGGAATAGGCCTGCCTTCTCTTAACTCCCAATTTGAAGGCTGCGATTTTAAATTAGATGAGAATTTACCTATTCTATTTGATACATATCCTTATGAATGAACATTTGTTGACTGCCTACTAAATGACACCGGTATTGTTCTAAAAGTAATGACTGACTTTTACACCTCTATTAGTTGTGTTCTACTATCCCCTTATTTACAGATGAGGAAACTGGGTACAGAGAGATTAAGTAACTAGTGTAATGTCACAGGTAGTATTCAGCTGAGCCTGCACTCATAAATGTGATACTGTCCTGCTTCTCCCTTGCTATTATAGGCAATTAAGAGCTTTCTGAAGGGGAAGAAATTTTATTATTAAACTGATTTAATGAATTACTATAATTGCAGTTTCAATAATTAGTTTTGTAAAATGCAACTGGTATAGCAGCTTTTGAAGTTTTCTAATTTTTTCCTTGTGTTAGGTTTGCCTTTTCACCATTGTCTGAGGAAGAGGAGGAAGATGAACAAAAGGAACCTATGCTGAAAGAAAGCTTTGGTAGTCATAAAATTCACCTCTTATTAGTACTTTAAATATTCTTTTTCTATAAATACATTGTTTATCATTTTGTAACTATGTTGTTCCTCTATTTGGTATGGGATGAAGTTAGGGTAAAGAAAATAAGGGTGTGAATCTTAAGATGAAGCCATGGTAAATTCAGTAAGTAATTGCACATTAAGTATCCATTTTACTTGCTAGAAGTGAGCTAAAAATTTTGTTTTGAACTTCCCAGCATACATGTAAAGATGGAGAAACATCTGTTGTATACTTCACAAGTATTAGAAAGCTTAAACTAACCTTGGGGCTTTTAATTTAAAAAAAGAAAAAAAAGGTTGTGAATCCATTTTGCCATCGTTGTCGGTCTGTTCACAAAGTTAACCAGTGTACATTTATTTTCTTCTACAGAGGGAATGAAAATGAGAAGTACCAAACAAGAACCCAATGGAAATAGTAAAGTTAACAAAGCAGTAAGTATGACTTTTCCATTCGTCTTCGTTCTTTGCCCCATCTTCCAACCCTCAGTAGAACTACTAGAAGAAAACAGAAGGCAAGTTCATGACATTGGTCTTGGCAATGATTTTTTTTGTATATGATCCCAAAAGCACAGGGAACAAAGCAAAAATAGAGAAGTGAGAGTACATCAAACTATAAAGCTTCTGCACAGCAAAGGAAACAAAGTGAAAAGGCAACCTACAGAATGGGAGAAAACATTTGCAAACGTTGCATCTGTTAAGGGGTTAATATCCAATTTATATAAGGAACTTAGTAGCAAGAAAACGAATAGCCCAGTTTAAAAATGGGCAGTGAACCTGAATATACATTTCTTAATATAAGACTACAAATGGCCAACAAGTATATGAAAAAATTTTCGTCATTACTAATCCTCAGGGAAATGCAAATGAAAACTACAATGAGATAACACCTCACACCTGTTTGAATGGCATTTATCAAAATGAAGAAATAACAAGTGTTGGCAAGGACATGGAAAAAAGGGAACCCTTGCACACTGTTGATAGGAATGTGAGTTAGTATAGCCATTATGGAAAATAGTATGGAGGTTCCTCAAAATTAAAAATAGAACTACCTTATGATCCAGCATTCATATCACTGGGTATATACCGAAACGAAATGAAATCAGTATGTCAAAGAGATACTTGCACTGTCATGTTCATTGCAGCATTAATCACAGTAGCCAAGATACAGAATCACCCTGCATGTCCATCAGTAGATGAATGGATAAGGAAAAGGTGGTGTATTTCAATATACAGTGGAATACTATTTAGACTCAGAAGAGAAGGAAATCTTGTCATTCACAACAGTGTGAAGAAGCCTGGAAGATATTATGTGAAATAAAATAAGCCAGGCACAGAAAGACAAATACCACATGATCTCACTTACGTCGGATCTAAAAAAGTTGAATTCCTAGAAGCAGAGGATTGAGTGGTGGTTACCAGGGGCTGTGGGAGAACTGGGGAGATGTTGGTCAAAGGGATTTTTTAAAATGTTTTTAAAAATTAAAATATTTGACTTTTCTGTCAGCAGTCCCATTTGTGAATGTACTGCTACAGAATTACGAAAGACAAGATTTAAGACCTTTATGTCCTTACTTGAGATGTATTATGTGGTGCATTTTAGTAACGAGTGGTATTTGTATGTTCCCAGCAGGAAGATGATTTGAAGTGGGTAGAAGAGAATGTTCCTTCTTCTGTGACAGATGTGTAAGTTTTTGAATGATTACCACAAGAATCCTATTTCAAAGTTAGTACTACTTTGTTGTTATTTTAAATGAGCAAGTTATGCTCATGAAAATACAAGATACTGAAAAATAATTAAAAGAATAGGAATAATCTGCAAACAAAATTAATTGTGTTTATTCATTCAGATGACATTTCTGCTTAGAAAGATTTAGCTATGTAGTAGATCTTAAAATGAATGGGATACTCCTTTTGAAATTTTTTAGTTCCTTTCCAGGGCTATAATTTTAATGAAACATTGGTCCTGTCGCGTTGCAAAATACGTTTTTTTTTTCTGTACAACTTCTGTAACTGTTGCTTATTGTATTTGCTGTCTATTTTCCCTACAAGGGCCATTAATAAAATGCAAATCTTAGATAATTATAAAAAAGCTTTAAATTGTATTATTCCAATGTCTTTTATGAACCATTTATGGCTTTATTTTACATTGCTCAATTCAGTATTTCTCTCTCTCTGCAGAGCACTTCCAGCCCTTCTGGATTCAGACGAGGTTGGTACTCAATTCACATGCATAAATTGTGTATATGATGACTAAATAGAAAGTCATGAATCGTCTGTTCATGGAGATTCTCTTTATTTGACTCAGTAGTGGCCTGAAAACTGTAGTTTATATAGTTGAAATGGATAAGAATAGAAATACTAATAGAGTTCAAACATTCAAGAATCTTTCCTTTCTTTGCATCTGTCTATGCATGTTTCACTTTTCAAAGTTGCACGGTCAGACCTGAGAGTGTTTTTAAATTGGATAGTAAGTACAGTACTCTCCACCGTCTAGTTCTTTTGTCTGTAAGAAATGCAAATTTAACCCTAATCTAATATTTGCAAAAATAATAAGGAAAAATATTGAGAAAGGAATATAGTAGACCAAAACAAAATCTAAATTGTTACCTACTATTTAATAATATTTATGTCACTACCTCCTTCAGATAGTAAGGATTATAATTAGTACCTCTAATATTTATGTTTTTAATCTTTTACTTTGCCTCCATACAGTTAATCTAGAAGACTTCACATGAAGTCTTATGTTAGGATTGTGGGCCAGGTATAGTGGCTCATGCCTGTAATCCCAGCACTTTGGAAGGCCAAGGCAGGAGGATCACTTTAGGTCAGGAGCTTGACACCAGCCTGGGCAACATGGTGAAACCCCATCTCTACAAAACATACAAAAATTAGCCAGAGATGGTGGCATACACCTGTAGTCTCAGCTACTTGGGAGGTGAAGTGGGAGGATCGCTTGAGCCCTGGAGGCAGAGGTTGCAGTGAGCTGAGATCATGCCACTCCAACCTGGACAAAAGAGTGAGACCCCATCTCAAAGAAAAAAAAAAGAGAGAGAGAATTGTGGCCTGAGTTCATGGAAACTAGTTCTGGACATGTTCTGAATATTAGGTCATTATAGAGTTTTTGTTCGTTTGTTTTTGTTTTTTTTTTCCAGGAAGACTTTTGGAAGCATCTTGTCTGATTCTGATTCATTGTGTTGAATTGGCTGCTAAAAATGATTTATTCATTTCTCATTGACGTGATATTTGACACAGCATGTACAGTATCAAATTCCTTAGCTGTTCTATGCATTGAAATAATTGAGAACTCTACTATTCAGATTTGAAGCTATCTGCCAAACACTTTGCTTTCTGCGGTATATTCTGCTGTTCCCACATCTCCCTCTTGAGGTCTTCCTCTGCTAATTATTTGCCTTTAGGGCTTCCCTTTGACTTCAGCTCTCCATGAGCTGCTATAAGCAGAGAAGGCTGATTAAGTGAAACCTGATTGTGCCCTTCATGGGAATGCAAGTTTGCTATAGTAATTTGGTGGCACTGAGTTCAGCCATCTGTTCATATTTTCCTCTGTGAAAACACTGTGCAAGAGTTTGCAAGTATACATAAGGCTTTTTTGTGGCAAGAAAACATAATGATATCTACCCTCTTAACAATTCCTTCAGTGTACATTACAGTATTTTTACGTATAAGCACAATGTTGTACAGCAGATCTCTAGAACATTTTCATCTCGTTTAACTGAAATTTTATGCCTGTTGAATAGCAACTCTTCCTTTCTCCCTCCCTCAGCCCCTGGCATCCACCATTCTACTTTCTGCCTTTGAGTTCTATTTTAGATAACTCATAGAAGTGGAATCATGCAGTATTTGTCCTCCTGTGGCTTACTTATTTCACTTAGCATAATGTCTTCAAGATTTATCTAAGTTGTAGCACGTGTCAGAATTTCCTTCCTTTTTAAGGCTGACAAGTGTTCCATTGTATATATGTAACATGTTATCTTCATCCATTTATCTGTCAGTGGACGCTTGGGTTATTTCTATACCTTGGCTATTGTGAATAATGTTTCAGTGAACATGGGAGTGCACATTTCCCTTTGAGATCCTGCTTCATTTCTTTTAGGTATATATGCAGAAGTGGGATTACTGGGTTATATGGTAGTTGTTTTTTTTTAAGTTGTTTGAGCAGCTTTCATACTGTTTTCCATAGTGATTGCACCATTTTACATTTCCACCAGCGAGGCACAGGGGTTCCAATTTCTTTCTTCGCCAATTATTTTTTCTTTTTTGATAATGGCCATCCTAACAGGTGTGAGGTGACACCTTGTGGTTTTGGTTTGTATTTCTCTGATGATTAGTGATGATGAGCATTTTTTAATATATCTGTCAGCCATTTGGAAGCCCTCTTTTGAGAAATGTCTCTTCCAGTCCCTGTCCCAGTTTTTAATCAGGTTAGTTGATTTTTTTTGCTATTGAATTGTAGGGGTTTCTTATATATTTTGGATATTAATCCTTATCAGAAACAGTCCTATGCCACATTTCAGTCAGCAGCAGACCACATATATGACAGTGGTCCCATGAAATAATACTGTATTTTTATTGTACCTTTTCAATGTTTGGATATCTTTAGGTACCCAAATACTTACCATTGTATTCCAGTTGCCTTTGGTATTCAGTACAGTAACATGCTGTATAGGTTTTTAGCCTAGAGCAATAGGTTTATACCATATAGCCGAGGTATGTAGTAGGCTATATAGTATCTAGATTTGTGTAAGTATATTGTGTGAAGTTCACACAACTATGAAATTGCCTAATGACACAGTTCTTAGAATGTATCCCTGTCATTAAGTGATTCATGACTGTATGTGGTATGCAAATATTTTCTCCAATTCTTTAGGTTGCCTTTCGTTCTATTGTGTACTTCCCTTGCTCTGCAGAAGCTTTTTAGTTTGATGTAGTCCCATTGGTCTGTTTTGCTCTTGTTGTTTTGTGCTTTTGGTGTCATAGCCAAGAAATCACTGCCAAGACCAATTTCAAGAAACTTAGGTTATCTTCTAGGATTTTTGTGGTTTACAGATCTTATGTCTAATTCTTTCATCTATTTTGACTTGGCTAAGTCTTTAATCTATTTTGAATTGATTTTTGTGTATCATGAAGATGAGTTACTTTCATTCTTTCTCATGTGAATATCTAGTTTTTCCAGCACCATTTGTTGAGGAAACTATCAGTTTCCCCACTGTGCAGTGTTGTCTCTCTTTTTGAAGATCAGTTGACCATATATGTGTAGTTTTATTTCTGGGCTTTCTATTTTGTTCTACTTGGTCATAGTGTATGATTCTTTTAATGTGCCGTTGAATTCTGTTTTCCAGTGTTTTGTTGAAGATTTTTGCATCTGTGCTCATCAGGGATATTGGCCTGTCATTTTCTCTTCTTGTCATGTCTTTGGCTTTGGCATTAGGGTAATGCTGGCCTCATAGAATAAGTTTGGAAGATCCTTCCAAATACATTTTTTCCTCTTGAATTTTTTTGAAAGAGTTTAAGAAGGATTAGCGTTACTTTGTCTTTAAATACTTGGTAGGACTCAACTAAAGAAGCCATCTGGTCCTGGGCTGCTTTTTTGTTGGGGTGTTTTTCATTACTGATGGAATCTTCTTTCTTGTTGTAGGTCTTACCAGGTTGTGTTTTTTCTTCCCCCCTCCTTCCCCCTCAGATTTTCTGTTCTTGGTGATTCAGTCTTGGTAGGTTGTATACTTCTAGGAACTATATATTTTGCTCTAGGTTATCCAATTTGTTGGCATATTTTAAAAAATGTTTTGTATATTTTTGTTGAAATTCTTACTTTGTTCATGCATTGTTCTCCTGAGTTTGTTGAAATCTTCATGATAGTTATGTTGCATTCTCTTTCAAATAATTCCTATACCTCTGTTTCATCGGGGTTGGTTTCCAGAGATTTATCTTCTTCCTTTGTTTGGGCCATGTTTCCCTGATTCTCCATTTTCCTTAATTCTTTGTGTTGGTTTCAGTGCATTAGAAAAAAACAGTTACCTTTCCAGTGTTCATGGACTGGCATTGTACAGGAGAACACCCTCACCAATCATCCTGCATGGAGATTCTGAGGACCTCTCTAACCCACTCTGTATTATATCTTTTCTGGACTTCTGCATATATATTCCCAATCAGAGGGATTTGCTGGGTTTTTCCCTCCCCAGGAATTTATAATCTCTTGCTCCCTTTTGTGTTCAACTGCTGTATCATGGGTCTCCTGGAGCCAGTGGCATAGCCCAGCTCTTTTTTATTTATACTGACCCCAGGCACCTAAAGTATACTGGTCCCATCTGTGCTTCAAACCATTCCCTACAGAAACTATTCCCTCAGGTAACCTCTTACAAAGTTGGAACATTTTCACAGTCCAACTCTCCTCCCTAGGGAAAAGCTGGGATTTGGGGATGTTGGGGATTCTACCTGCTTACTCTGCACTGAGCTGGGGGAGGGGCTATAGTGAGTTCATACTTGCTAGTCCAAACTTCCACTTTTGATTTCAGCAACTTCCAACCTGGGCCCTTTGTTGTTAGCTCTCGGATTCAGGCATGACAGAAAACAGTCTCTTGTGCAGGTTCCAGAAAAGTCAGAATGTTGGGTGTACATTCCAGTCATTTCCTTCCCTCTCCAAAAAGAAGCTGGGAGCTGAGGGTTTCCACCCTATCATGTGGTACTGTACTGGGTCCATGGGAAGGGAAGAATTATGGCAAGAGGGTGCCTCAGATTTTTCTGCTGACTTTGATACAGCTGTTTTCATGCTTTCCGATAGTGCAGAAGACCCTCAGCTGGTTTCTGGATTTCTCACAAAGGGAATTTTTCCATGTGTTACTGAATCAGTGTGTCTGCAGGGGGAAGGAGGGTCCAGGACTTCCTATTCTGTCATCTTGCTGACATCACTTTCTCCAAGGCCTTTTTTTCACTTAAAACTGAAAAAGAACTTAAATGAATTACAGGAGAAACAATTTACATGATGGACCAGGAATCAAAATGGCATAAGGCTCTTCAGCATCATCTTTGGAAGCCAGAACAAAGCCTTTGAATTATTTTCAACCTAGAATTTTGTACTCAACTAAACTATCATTATGAGGGTAAAATAAAGATGTTTCCAGCCACACAAGAAGTAAAATAATTGATGTCCTATATGCAGTTTCTGAGGAAAGCAGTAGAAAATGTTCTCCACAAAAATGAGGAAGCTAAGAAAAAGACTTGGGATCTAGGAAATAAAGGGTCCAACACAGACAAGAAAAATTCCCAGTATGATGTAAGAAATTCTCAGGTTGGCAGCTGGGCAACAGGCTTGGATGGAGTAGAGAACAGAGAGCATCGGAAAGGATATTTTTAAGAAAAAGGGAAACATCTATAGATTATCTGATGTGATTGATTATATTCAAAAAGGATTTGTAGTTCTGTCAGTTTGTGATACAACAGTGAGAGGTACTTAGCAAATGAAGCAGAAGAAAAATGAAAATTAACTCTAAGGTATAAAATTGCCTAAGAAGGGAAATTTAATGGTAGTGCATTAATTATTTTAATTGAAATGGGATACTGTAAATACTATATTAAATGTAATTTTATTTTTTATATGATTTTTAAAAATTGTAGTAAAAAACACCTAAGAAATCTACTCTGCTAACCATTCTAAAGTGCAAAGTGTTAACTATGTGCACATCTTTGCCCTCATCCTTCACTGGGTCTTCAAGTTAAATTCCTGAATTAGAGGAAGTACACATTTTTATTAAAGCATAATCTTATGTAAATATTTGTTTAGTCATCTTAACTGACTCTATACATTTCCTTCTGAGTGCTGATTTGCTGTCCAGAAGCCTAGAGCTTTTGATTTAGTTGTTCTTGGGTGAGGTCTGGACATCTGTAGGTTCAAAATCTTCATAAATGTTTAGGAACCATTTCTCTAAACATTTAATTAACATAAACAAGTACTCGTGGAAGATGTTTGCTTGGATAGTCTATATAGAAGATATTTGGAATATAGATCAGTTTAACCTAATATACTTAAACCTTTTTTGTCCCTAGGAACGAATGATCACACACTTTGAAAGGTCCAAAATGGAGTAAGGAATGGGAAGATTTGCAGTTAAAGATGGCTCCTATCAGGGAAGAGATCAGCATCTGTGTCAGTCTTCTGTACGGCTCCATGGGATTAAAGGAAGCAATGACATCCTGATCTGTTCCTTGATCTTTGGGCATTGGAGTTGGCAAGAGGTGTCAGAACAAAGAGAACATCTTACTGAAAACAAGTTCATAAGATGAGAAAAATCTGCAAGCTTCATATTTACAACACTGATGCCCCCTTTCCTCCCAGACTCTGACTGGATGTTCATGCAACTTAAATGTGTTGTTCCTGAACTTTCTGTAATGTTTCATTTTTTTAATCTGACAAACTAAAAAGTTTAACGTCTTCTAAAGGACTGTCATCAACACCATAATATGTAATCTCCAGGAGCAACTGCCTGTAATTTTTATTTATTTAGGGAGTTACATAGGTGATGGGGGAAATTGTTAACTACCTTTAATTTTCCTGGGAAGTCAAGGTTACATCTCGCAGACGTTGTTTTGAGAAAAAAGGGCCCTTCTGAGTTAAGGAGCCATAATTCTGTGAGTGATCAAAAGAAAGAAAAAAGAAACTGTTACAGTATGATTCAGATCATTTAAAAAAGCAAAATCAAGTGCAATTTTGTTTACAAATGGTGTATATTAAAGATTTTTCTATTTCAGATGTACTTTAAAGAGAAATATTAGCTTAACTCTTTTGACATCTGCTATTGTGACACATCCCATTGCTGGCAATGTGGTGCACACTCCGAAACTTTTAACTACTGTTTTGTAAGCCTCCAAGGGTGGCATTGCAGGGTCCTAGGCAATGTTTTGCTTGCCTTTATGCAGAGAGGTGCTCCAAGTGCTGTGATTGAGTACCATGCTAGAGGAACTGTAATGCTTCAGAAGTGGTAGCTTATACAAAGGAAACAGGTCCTGCTGGCTTAATTTAAACAGTTATTGCATGAAGTAATGTGGAGGCCCTGGACTGCTGCTCATTCTTTAGGATGGACTGTTCTGGTATCTGGTATTGGTTTAGAGCCTGTTTATAAGGGACATCACAAGGTGATGGGATTCATTTGAAGCACTCTATTTCTGTTTTAATGGTTTTATCCAATTTTGCCTTCCCAAGATTTTTGTTCTACATAAAAAGTTCATGCCACTTTTTAATATAAAAAAATTTAACAAAATTAATGTATTTTTCTCATTTTTTTCAAACTTTTTCTGAAGACCCTTTCTCTCAAACTCATGAAACATTTCCTTCCATGGCTTTTATTCTAGATTATCTTATTTTCTGTTAAAACCAATGACCACATGACCACAATCTTCATTAACTCATACTGCAGTGAAAGTGTTAACCCTTAGGTAGTTTCTCTATAACTCTTTGCTATGGTGATTTTAAAAAAAGTTTCCTGGGAAGTATCTCTGAGGAACTGCAGTCTGAAGAACTGACTATATTCTCATGCTAATTCATTAGCCAAAGGCTGGTGGTATTGTTGCATGCTGCTATTGCATATTAAAACTTAGCAGATGAATAATAGTTGTAATGCAGCAAGATAGTTGGTCAAATTATTTTTTTAGGCTGGTTTGATGTTGACTTGAGACTAGGGAAAAAAAAAAAAAAAACCCTTGTGTTAAGCAGGAGTGTATAGTACAAATTCTATAGCTTGGGCCCTGATAATTCTGCTTACAGCTTTCTGTATTACTGGGAGTGGATATAGTGTGTCATTTCTTAGGACAGGTTCAGAAGAAATTTATAGCTTTACACTAATCTGTAAAACAATATAAACCTTAGGGTTTGGGGCCTGAACAAAAAGGTACTAGACCTTCTTCCAGCACAACAGCTGGTAATTCTAAATTTTTAAGAAGGTGATCAGCTTCTATGGTGAAAATCAGCTGTAACACAGGATTTGTTTAGCAATTTTTGTGTTTATGACTACTTGAAAGTGTACTTTCACTTGATTATCAGAACAGCATTTGTTAAGATGGGACAAGTATTCCTAGTTTACATATGAAGAAATTGATACTGTGTAAAAATAAAATGACCAGGACCAGTTTTTTTGGCTTCATGTCAGACTTACCCTTTTTCTTTTACATTTTTGCTTTAAACCCAAATGCTTAATTTTTTGACCTATCTGATGTTTTCCTAGGGGGAAATTACCAGATATAGATCATTCTTGCAGCTCAAACTAAGTTTCGTTGTTTTTTAAGTCTTCAAGGGGAATACTAAGGTAACCTCAGACAGTACAGGTCCAGGGTCCTGTAGGAGGAAGAGCCATGACACCTTCCTAAAAGGAATATTAGGATGTAAGACACAACTTGGGAAAGTTGAATTGGTAGGAATGTGATCATCAAATTAAAAGGAGGCTTATATCACTCACTTCCAAGAGTTAGTGAATCATCTGTTGCCTAAACTCTTGCTACTCAAAATGTGATCCAGGGACAAGCAACATCTGGGAGATTTTTGATGCTCAATTGAGGGTCTTACTCTGGTCCTACTGAATCAAAAGAGGCATTTTAACACTGTCTCTAGGTGATTTGTATGCACATTCAATTTGAAAAGCATTGGCCTCAAATGGTTCTCAGGGTGATTTTGCCTTCCAGAGGACATACAGCAAAGAGACATTTTTATACCTCTGTAGGGAAGATACTGGCATCTGGTGGGTGGAGGTTAAGGATACTGTTAAACACCTTACGTTGCACAGAACATGCCCCCTCCCCCAACAAGAAATTATCCTGTCCTAAAGGTGGGTAGTGCTACCACTGAACAACCCTGAGATGGTGGTTCTCAAGCTTTTAAATGCATGGACTCACCTTGGGGTTTATTAAAACATAGATTACTGTTCCTTCCAGAGTTTCAGATTCAGGAGAACTGGAATGGGCCTGAAACTTTGCATTTCTAACAAGTTCACAGGTGCTGCTGCTACTGCTGTTGTTGCTGGTCTAGAACCATGAAAGCATAAAGGTAAGGTGCTTGTACTAATTGGGATATAATGGTAATACGAAAGCTACCATTTATTGAGAGCTTAGTGTGTGTCAGGTGTTGCTAAGCGCTCACGATACTGGATCACAGGTATTTACACAAACCATTTTGCAGATCAGGAAAGTATGGCATCGAAATACTAAATTTTCTAAATCACAGCTAATTTCCTAAATGGTAGATCTCCGTCTGAGGTCTGACACCAAAGGCCGAGTTTTTAACCATCACACCCATTGCCTAAAACAGTTCTAAGATTAACAGTTTGTTCCTTCTATGGTAAGCCCATGGCTACTCGGGACAGAGTGGCTCTGGGTCCAGAGTGACAATGGCAACTCAACAAGTCAATTCCTTGAGAGTGCACCGGGAGGAAGGGGCGGGACTTCGGCTGCGGAAGGGGCGGGCCTAACCAGCAGGAAGTCCGGGGTTGACGATGGCTGTGTTGTTGAAAGGCCTGTAGCTGGGGCTACTCTTAGCCTAGCCTCGTTCCGGACCCCAACACGGCCCGGAACACTGTGGGCGAGACGGCGGTGGCGACTCTCCCCTTGCCGCCATGCACGACGCTTTCGAGCCAGTGCCGATCCTAGAAAAGCTGCCTCTGCAAATCGACTGTCTCGCTGCCTGGGGTGAGCCGAGGGGCCGCGGGGCCGAGGCGGAGTCAGCACGGGAGCGGCCCGGATCTTTTCTGGGGCCGGGGAAGTGGACAGGCGTTCATCCGTGTGGGCTTCGGTTGGATGCTACCCGAGAGGGGCTTGGGATGAGAGAAAGCAGAGAGATGACCCCCGGCTGTAGACATCGTTGTCTATGGGGCTGCTTGGGTGATCCCAGTGATCCAGTCATTTAGGGGAGTTCCCCTTCCTCTTGCTCCCTGTGCAGAGTGGGAGGATGAGCTTTCCTTTTTAATTGTGCTCAGCTTTAGCCCATTTTGATTCCCAAGAAGTCTTCATTTTAGAGGGCCAAAGCAGTAAGAAGTTCTCAGCCTGCCAGGGGCTTGAAGTTGCCCAGATGTTTGTGTTGTTTTCTAGATGAAAGTCAACCCTGGTTTTGGGGGCATAGAACAAGTTAACACCATATGCTATTTTTTCCCTGTAGTGATCACTCGTTCACTTCTCATTCCTGTAGGGAACTCGTGTAGTTAGCTAACCTTTGAGTCTAGCCAAGTGGTTGATTACCTTATATCCAAAGTGTCCAAGTTACCTAACTCTGTAGGCGGAAGAGTTTCCAGACTGTCATGAAACCTAACCCATAAAAACTAGCATAGTCCTTTTGGGATTGACTAGTGCAGAAGGCAGGGACAGACATCTCTTGTGTGCTCTGAAATACAAATGAAGGTTTCAGGGATAACGGTGAACATTGTGCTCTTATCTATGAGTGACTGGTTTGATACCAGCCCCCAAAGACCAAGGAAATCATTTCTAACTTTCCTCCTAATGTTTAGGTCCTAGAAATCAAGGACCATAAGAAGATGATTCAGATCCCTTAATCAGATCTTATACTGGGCTACATAGGTAACCACGATGGGCCTCATGGAATCTTGGTGTGTCTGATATTATGTGCATCAGCTAGCTGTTCATAGTGTCACCGAGTCATCCGTGCAGAGTTCTTCATGACTTCTTCTGTAGGGTCCTTTCGCGAAGAATTTTCATGTTAATGTGCACCCTTCCTCCTTTAGCAGCTCTGGGTCTCTTTAAAATCACACCTCCACAGTAAGCAGTTCTAGTCCTTTGGGTTAAGAGGAGAATCCTATTTCCTCCAGACATCTCAAGAAAACCAATTTCTGTCATTAAATGCTCTCATTAAACATTTAAATAGAGGAGGAGAAAGTTTTTAAATGAAAGACGTGACGCTGCATGAAGGGATTAATTCCCCCATTGCTTCATCAGATATACGTATTAGGTGCCTACATGGGCCATTCTCTTTGCTAGGGACAGTAATACAATGATGAATAAGAAACGGTGCCTGTGCTCCTAGGACACACATTGGGGGGACAAAGACATGTGAACAGGTTATGATACTAGAGACATATGCTGCCTGTTATTGCAACATGGATGAGGGGGTACCCAACTCAGCTAAGGACATGTTTCTGAGAGGGATTAAGGATTAATGCAGCTGTTGCCACACTTGACTTAGCTCGTCAGAATCCTTGACTCCGATCTCCTGTTGGACTATTATATGTGCTCCTAGACTCTCAGTAACTCCACTTTGTCACAGTAAAAATTCCTTGCACCTGTGGTTTTCAGGAACACAGTTTTGAAACGATAGGTAGCTTTTGGCCTTCCTTGATCACCCACCAAACAGGAGAAATGCTCTTTGCTTCCTAAGGTGCTTTGGTACACATTAGGTTACAAGAGGCCATTAACTGCCTCCTGCTTCAAAAGTGCTTTATTTCCAGATTTGAGCAGCAGTAATTATTGCTGTTTCTAGTCATTACCCCTTTTTAACTACATTGTGCCTTTGGATGCAAAGTTCGTCCAGGAATTTCCAGAGGCAGGTCACACAGGGCCAAATAATATTTAAGGTGTAAATGTCTTAGAGACAACATACTGTGTCTCCTAGGAAATAGAAATCAGGGGGGCTGGGCGCGGTAGCTCATGTCTGTAATCCCAGCACTTTGGGAGGCTGAGGCGGGCGGATCATGAGGTCAGGAGATCGAGACCATCCTGGCTAACATGGTGAAACCCTGTCTCTACTAAAAATACAAAAAATTAGCCGGGCATGGTGGCAGACGCCTGTAGTCCCAGCTACTTGGGAGGCTGAGGCAGGAGAATGGCGTGAACCCAGGAGGCGGAGCTTGCAGTGAGCTGACATCGCACCTCTGCACTCCAGCCTGGGCGACAGAGCGAGACTCCGTCTCAAAAAAAAAAAAAAAGGAAATCAGGGGAACATGATGAGGGTGATTTCTTTCTAAACTCCAAATATGTATAATCCTGCTGCCTTTTCAGCATCTTCATTTGGATGTCTCATAGCATAACCAAAACAGTTCTTGATTCCTCTCCCCTCAAACATGCCTGTCCTCCTGTATCTTACATCTCAGCAAGTGGCATTTCTATTTACCTCTTTGACTAAGGCCAAAAGCTTTGGAATCGTTCTTGACTTCTTTCATTCTGTTTTACACTATATCCCATCTATCAGCAAATCTTGTGTGTTCTACCCCTAGAATAAATCTGAAATCCAGTCATTTCTGTCTTGATAATTACTACTCTTGAAGGCACCATCATCTGTCACCTGAATTACTGTAGTAGTCTTCTCATTGACCACCCTATATTTGCCATTGTACCATTTTCAGTTTTTTATCTACCAGGTAGAGTGAAACTTTGAAAACCTAAATCTGATTCCATCCTCGGCTCAAAACCCTCCCATGGTATTACATCACAACTAGAATAAGTTCCAAAGTCTTTACCTTGTCTGGCAACATCTGACATGCTGAGGCCCTGGTAACTTCCCTGTTTCCTGTGCACTTACCTCTCACGCCTTTCTAGTACCAGTCCCACACAGCCTTCCTTGTTCCATCAGTGCACAAAGCACATACCCACCTCAGGGCCTTTACACTTGCTGCTTCCTCGGCCTGGCACTCACTTGCCTTTGTATATATGGTTCATTCCTCATTTCACTCAGTTCTCTGCTGAAACGTCACCCAAATCAGCAGAACCTTCCCTACGTATCCTATATGAAAGAGATTGCCACATCCACCACTGTGCTGTTTTCTTAGCCTTCTAATCATGGGTCACCATCTACTGTTGTTTTATGTATTTAATTATTATCACATCTCTCACTCCACATTAGAATATAAGTTCCCTCAGGGCAGGAACTTTGTTTTCTACATTGCTGTATCCGGAGTACCTAAAACGTTTCCTGCCTCATGTTGATATGAATAGTAATAGCTTGCAGTTGTTAAATGCTAATCTGTATTAGGCTTTTATAAAATAAGACTCCATTTTACAGAAGAAGGACCTGAGGCTTAGATAATTTAAGAAATTTTTCCAAGGTCACATGTCCTGTAAATCATGTCTGCTTCTAGAGCCTGGTTCCCAAACTTGAATGTATATTCAAAGCCTGTAAAAAAAAATGCAAACTTCATGTGTATAGATGAGTATCTGTCTGTCCATATATACATACATACCTATATTTTCCAGAGAAACAATGGAAAGATAACTCAGAAATTACTAAAATGATGCCCATAGCAGAAGGGAGAGGAGAGGATAAGATGGACAATGATAGAAATTAGACTTTTCATCGTTTTAGCTTTGGAACTACAAAAATGTGTCATAAAAACAAATAATAAAATTTTATTTTATTTTATTGTTATTATTTTTTGAGACCGAGTCTCGCTACGTCGCCCAGGCTGGAGTCCAGCAGTACAATCTCAGCTCACTGCAACCTCCGCCTCCCAGGCATGTACCTGTACAAGCCATTGTTGTGCCTCGGCCTCCTGAGTAGCTGGGATTACAGGCGCCTACCACCATGCCTGGCTATTTTTTGTACTTTTAGTAGAGACGGGGTTTCGCCATGTTGGCCAGGCTGGTCTCAAACTCCTGACCTCAGGTGATCCGCCCACCTCGGCCTCCCAAAGAGCTGGGATTACAGGCATGAGCCACTGTGCCCAGCCAACAAAATTAAATTTTAAAATGTAGATTTCAGAGTGCCACCTCAAAGCCATTGAATCTGAATCTCCATGTGCAGGGCCCAGGAATGTGCATTTTTAATAAGTCCAGGTGATTCTAATGCAGCTGACTGGGGGCTTATGCCTAGATGAGAAGTACTGTTATTTGCCATGTTACCCAACGAAGGGAAGTGACTACTATCTTGTTCATCTTTGTGTTCCCTGCAGTGGCCAGCATTGGGCCAGAAATGGAATTTATTACATGAAGCTGGACTGCATTGCACTGTTGGAAGGAGTGCCATTAGGGTAATTATGAGCAACAGGGCCTAGCCCTCCTTCCCAGGAGGAATTAAGTCAACCTGTGGCTCAGGGTTAGGCTGTCAGGAGTTTTCCAGGGCTGATACTGCTTTGCTTGTGTGTGCGTTATGTGTTTGTGTAAGTATGTCTCGCTTTCTGTTGTGTGTTACTGTCTTGAGTCTCAGAAGGGTCTGTCCACCCCATGCTGCACGTGCTCTGCAGGCTTGTCGTTCTCTGTGTTGTGCATGCACAGCTGTGTTAAATAACGTGTCTTAGAGCGTGGAGGACCCAACATGGGACAGGTCCTCTGGCTAATGGCACATTTAATCAATCAGGTTGATTTAAAAGTTTTCAGTGAATTTAATACATCAGAATGATTCCCTTTTATGACCAGTAGAATAGACATTTGATTTTTTTTTTTTTTTTTTTTGAGGTGGAGTTTCACACTTGTCACCTAGGCTGGAGTGCAGTGGCGCAACCTCTGCCTCCTGGGTTCAAGTGATTCTCCTGGCTCAGCCTCCTGAGTACCTGGGATTACAGGTGCTCGCCACCACACCTGGCTAATTTTTTTTTTTTTTTTTTTTTTTTTTTTTTTAGCTCGCCAGCTCACACCTGGCTAATTAGGGAGATTTTTTTTTTTTTTTTTTTTTTTTTTTTGAGACAGGAGTCCTGCCCTGTCACCCAGGCTGGAGTACAGTGGTACGATCTCAGCTCACTGCAACCTCTCCCTCCGGGGTTGACACGATTCTCTTGCCTCAGTCTCCTGAGTAGCTGGGATTACAGGCACACACACCATGCCCAGCTAATTGTTTTTGTATTTTCAGTAGAGACAGTGTTCCACTATATTGAACTGGTCTTGAACTCCTGACTTCAGGTGATCTGCCTGCCTTGGCCTCCCAAAGTGCTGGGATTACAAGCGTGAGCCACCACACCTGGCCTAATTTTTGTATTTTTTAGTAGAGATGGGGTTTCACTATATTGGCCAGGCTGGTCTTAAACTGCTGACCTCCGGTGATTCGCCCACCTCGGCCTCCCAAAGTGCTGGGATTACAGGTGTGAGCCACCATGCCCGGCCCCTAGACATTTGATTTTTAAAAATGTTTTGACATGTCTTAGTTTGAGTTCACAAGAAAAAAAAGTAAATTAATCTAAAAATCTATTGGCAACAAACATTTCAATAAAAATGGAAAATAGACTCTTGAATGTCATGTTTAGGAATTTGACTTCATATTTTGGTAGTGTAGCTTCCTAAGATTTTTTAAGCCCCAGTGTGACAGCTTCAGAGATCTGCTCTAAGATAACTGACAGCAAATGTGAGAGAATGCATGGAGTGAATGAGACCAGTTGAAGCTGTCACAGGGGTCCCTGGAGAGACTCTACAGGAGGAGGCTGTCATGAGGAACCATTAGAGGTAAAACTGATAGACCCTGCCCAACTTGGGAGGAAGCTGAGGCTATTAAAATAGATAAAGAAGAACAGGAACTGGCGGGGACTTGGGGTACAGAGTGGAGAGAGAAGGATGGGGAAGATGGTGAACATTATGTTGGCCTTTTGTTTTGGTTACAGATTTTTATGCATGAGGGGATTTTTTAAAAATTTCCACTTCATTTTATTTATATCTGAAATATCAGTGGGTGGCCTAAAAATCAACTTTAGTATTGCCAAATTGCCTGATATCATGATATCTATAAATAAAGTTCTAAAGATAATATCTTTTACAAAGCAAGCATTGCAGAATGAATTCTTTTACTTTTTCATGTTCTGTCCCAGCCTAAATCTCCAGCCTTCGTTAGAGCTGCTGTTATTTCTGATTTCAACTTAATGTTATTAAGAGCACACAGTGTTACTTTTTGTGACCTGCCTTTCCTTTAAGACCACAAATCAAAGAAAGTAGAATCACTCTGTTTTTCTGGATGACTAAGAACATCATCCTGGAGAAGTATTACTGATCCTTTAGATAAAGAATGTAGATGCTGACCTGTTTTAATAAATATAACTACTGTGTTTCAGACAACCTTTGGCTGACACCCATTCTTTTGACATGGGTGCCTGAGTAAGTACATCACAGCATGTGGTTGGGAATCAGACAAATGGGGGTTGGGATCCCAACTCTGCTGCTTGCCACATGTGTGACTCTGGAAAAGTTATGTATTCCCTAGGCCTCAACTTCCTCATCTATAAAGTGGGGATTGGAAAAAAGGACTTACTTCAAGGGATAGTTGTGAGGATTAGTGAACTAACAGATGTGCTTAGCATTTCCTGGAACACAACACATGCGCAATAAAAGTTATCTATTTGTCCCATTATGCAAGATTTTATTTTGCAGAGATCCAGAATCAACAGAGTTTATGAAAGGAATGAGGGACCTTTATGTTATCAAAAAGCTAAGGAAGTATCTGTACATGCTTACCTTCCTCGAATGACATAATTTGGGTCTGTCAGGGTAATTATTTAAACTCTTTCTGAGCCTCTTTTTACCTAGACCAGTGCCTCCCACAACATGGTCCTTCAACCACCAGCATCAGCATCATCTGGGAAGTCGTTAGAAATGAAAATTCCTGGGCCTACTTTTAGACCTACTGAATCAGAAGCTCTGGGGTAGAGCCTAGCATTCTGTTTTAACAAACTCTCAAATAATTGTGATACACTAAAGTTTAAGAACCACTAGCCTAGACCATCTTTTAAAATGTACAATTTGCCTGGGCACAGTGGCTCACCCCTGTAATCCCAACACTTTGGGAAGCTGAAGGGGCATTGCTTGAGGTCAAGAGTTGGAGACCAGATTGGGCAATATTGTGAGCCCTCATCTCTATAAAAATTTTTTAAAAAATAACTGAGCGTGGTTGTGCATGCCTGCAGTTGTCGCCACTCGGGAGGCTGAGGTGGGCATATCACTTGAGCCCAGGAGGCAGAGGCTGCAGTGAGCCATGATCACACTCAGGAGGCTGAGGTGGGAGGATCACTTGAGCCAGGGAGGTGGAGGCTGCAGTGAGCCATGATCACGCCACTGCTCTCTAGCCTGGGTGACAGAGTGGAACCCTATCTTAAAAAAATATAAGTTAAAAAAAAAGTGTACAATTAAATGGTTTTTAGTACATTCACAGAGTTGTGCAACTATCACCACAATTAATTTTAGAACATATTCATCACTTTCAGAAGAAACTCAGTACCCATTAGTATTTACTTTCCATTTTCCCCCAAGCCCACCAACCCTGGGCAACCACTAATCTTTCTACCTCTGTGGATTTGCCTACTCTGGACATTTGATATAAATGGAATCATGTGGCCTTTTGTGGTCTGGCTTCCTTCAGTAAGCACCATGTTTTCAGGTGCATCTCTGTTGCAGCATATATCCATACTTCCTTTCTTTTCATTGTTAGCTAATATTCCATTATATAGACATGCCGTATTTTGTTGATTCGTTCATCAGTTGATGGACATTTGGTTTGTTTCCATCTTTTAGCTATTACAAATAATACTGCTGTGAACATTTGTGTACAAGTTTTTGTGTAGAATATGTTTTCATTTCTGTTGGGTGTGTACCCAGGAGTGAAATTGCTGGTTCCCAGGGTAGCTATGTTTAGCCTTTTGAGGAACTGCGAGACTTTTCCAAAGCGGCTGTCCCATTTTACATTCCTGCCAGCAGTGTATGAGGGTTCTAATGTCTTTATATTCTCATCAACACTTGTTATTAAATATTTTCTACTAGACTATCCTTTGAGATAATGAATTCTGTAAGCCTATTACGCTATGTCATTTATTTTCCTGAAAGTAAAAGCATTTAAAGGATGCCTCTTAGCTATTATTTCTGAGGTTGGATACCTGGTTTCACATTTGTACTTCCATTTTGTGATTTTATAAACTTTCATCATATTCTTTTTAGCTGAATTAAAAAATATAGATCTAAAGATATATATCTTAATATAAGTATATATAAAATAAAAAATAAAAATCAATCATTTAATCTTAAACATACAAAGCCCTTCTATCTTTTTTATTAGTTTAATATTAATTAAGCCAGTGACATTTTTATCCTCTGATATGTCTAGCCTAGTAATTATTCAATAAATGTATTTTTAATTGGTTGATTCTCAAACATGAGTATAAACATTCCTTAGCTTTGCAAAACACCTGCTATCAAAAGCAACTCATTTTCTTGACACATTGATTTCTTATTACAAGCCCCAGCTAAAGAAATAGGGTTATACTCAAGCTGACTGACCCTTCTCAAAGCTATTTTTTTTCCAGAGGAATGGCTTCTTGTGGGAACCAAACAAGGACATCTTCTTCTCTATAGGATTCGGAAGGACGTTGGTAAGTGCGTATTGCTCCTGAAAAATAATAATAATAATAATGTTTTAATAGTCAGCTAGTATACAACGGTGAAATCACTTATTCCTGGACCATTGAAAGAGAGAGTGAAGGTTAGAGGGAGCACGGTGGGAAAATGGGGAGAAGACTTGAGAATGCCTAGGGCTTTTCTCCTTCAAACTGTATTGCCCTGCCTACATCTGGGAGGTGAGGATGAGTTGCTGGTTTACTTATTACTGAATCACTTATTACCGGTAGTGAGTCTCTAAGAAAAGAGGAGGTGGTGGTTTTCCTCCTCTTTTCTTAGAGACTCACTACCAGTAATAAGAAATACTACTAATGGGAATAAGATTCCTGTATATATGGTGTGGTGGTAGGAAAAAAAATTAGGAAACATTGGTTTAAAATATCTTGTTAGCTTATGAGGGGTAGACCAGGAAGAGAGGACCAGGGTTTGTGTTCATGTGCACTTCCCCCGGCTGCGTGACTGTGAGCAGGTTCTTTCCAACATCAGTTTTCTATAAACTCTCTGTCTCACGAAGTTCTTGGGGCAGATGCAATAATAGGCTTGAAGAAACTGTGAAAACTAAAGTTCTAATCAAATGTGACTGTCAGTAACGTAGAGTAATAACTACAGTATTTGAAATGTATTCTGTTAAAGAGTGTTTTTTTATTGGGGCAGAAAGTACCTCACTGCCCTTCCCTGTTTTCATTTTTGTGCTCTCTTTATGGACAATAGATGTGTTTAGGTATTATGCCCTGAAGCCACTCTACAGAAATCTGCAGTTAATTTCATACCTTTCAATCTAATATATATTTCTCTGATAAATAGCTTAAGAGACAGCTTAAGATAAATAGAGCTCTCTTTTGGAACCTGGAGCAAGGGTAACATTGGGGGAAAAAGCACCTTACTAGTGCACCTGGCAAAGAGGAAGATATCCTGGTCAGTTTCTGCAGCAGGGTAAGAAAATAAACCAGAGAACAAAATAGAGAATTTATTTCATTTCTAAGTTTTTCAACTGTCCTCTAAATCAGGGGTCAGCAAACTTGTTCTGAAAAGGTCCAAAGAATAAATATTTTAGGCTTTGCAGTGTTGTAAGTACTTAACTCTGCCATTGTAACATGAAAGCAGCTGTAAGCAATATATAATGAATTGGTTATGTTTCATAAAACGTAATTATGTTTCAATATGGTTATGTTTCAATAAAACTTTATTTACAAAAACATGCAAAGGCCTCAATTTGGCCCTTGGGCAGTACATTGTTGATCTTTGTTTTAATGTTTTAAATTTTTAATTCTTGGCCAGGCAAAGTGGCTCATGCCTATAATCTGAGCACTTTGGGAGACTGAAGTAGGAGGAATGATTGAGGCCAGGAGTTCGAGACCAGCTTGGGCAACATAACGACACCCTCTCTACTAAAAATTAGCTGGATGTGGTGGCACGTGCTTATAATTCCAGCTGCTCTGGAGGCTAAGCTGAGAGGATCGCTTGAGCCCAGGAGGTTGAGGCTGCAGTGAGCTGTGATCACACCATTGCTCTCCAGCCTTAGCAACAGACCTTGTCTCAAAATTTTTTTTTTTTAGTTCTCAGAGCCAAAATATTTGCATTCTGTGATATTTGCCTGGTCTATAATTTTAAAATTAAGCTCACATTTTAATTTTAAAGCTAAAAATGCTTATCTTATTCAGCATTCAACAACTGTTTTTTGACTCTCTACTTTCAGATGTAAGTGGTGATCAGAAATTGAAAACAAGACTTTACAAATGAAGTCTTTCAACACAGTATAGACCTAAACTGGTAATATGAGCGTTAATCTGGCTTGGAACCCTGGTGGCGACTATTCCTTGCTCTGTGATCATTTTATCATGTCAACTTTGACAAATTAGTTAATGTTCCTGGGCCTCAGTTTCTCCATAGGTAGCTTAAATATAGACAATTAGGAAATCAAACTCTGATTTGAAACATTTTCTTCAAGAAATGTCATTTTCCCTGTACTCTTGGTGAACAGTGTAGTTCTGGCCCAGCTCTGGCCTGGTGTGGGCCAGAAATAGACCTGGGCCTGTGTGAATTAGTCCTAGGGTTAGTTTGGTTTCTAGATTTGAGATATTTCAAGCCTAAATAGATATATGGGTAGACTGTCTTTCTGAGGAAAGGGAGGGGATAATAGGGTCAAGAAAAGACTAGGGCTAGGGATCGTAGGCTCCGATCTGATCTCAGTCATTTCCCTGGAGCTCAGTTGAGCCAGTGACATTTTTATCCTCTGATATGTCTAGCCTAGTAATTATTCAATAAATGTGTTTTGAATTGGTTAATTCTCAAACATGAGTATAAACATTTCTCAACAGACATCTCTAGGCTTCATTTTACTCCTTTATTTTTTGAGACAGGGTCTTGCTCTGTTGCCTAGGCTGGAGTGTAGTGGTGCTATTCTGGCTCACTGTAGCCTCAACCTCCTGGGTTCAAACCATCCTCCCACCTCAGCCTCCCAGGTAGCTGGGACCACAGGCACACACCAACATGTCCAACCCATTTTTGTATCTTTTGTAGAGATGGGGTTTCGCCAGATTGCCCAGGCTGGACTTGAATTCCTGGGCTCAAGTAATCTGCCCACCTCAGCCTCCCAAAGTTCTGGGACTACAGATGCGTGCCACCATGCCCAGCTAATTTTTGTATTTTTTTAGAGACAGGGTTTCACCATCTTGGCCAGGCTATTCTGGAATTCCTGACCTCAAGTGATCCACCCGCCTCAGCCTCCCAAAGTGCTGGGATTACAGGTGTGAACCACTGTGCCCAGCCCAGTCTACTCTTATCTTGAACTGAGAGGGGTTAGATTAGTTCATGTCTGAGGCCTTTACAACTCTAGGTTTATTTCAGTCGTGCCGAGCAGCGTTCTCAAAGTGTGGTCTCTAGACCCCTGGGGATCCCCAAGATCCTTTCAGAGGACCTACAAGGACAAAACCAAGTTTGCAAAAACACTGAAACATTTCATTTTTTTTTTTTTTTTTCCACTGTGTTGACATTTACAATGATGGTGCAAAAGGAATGGTGATTAAAACTGGTGGGCACCTGAACACAAATCAGAACAGTAGCACCTAACTTCAAATAGAGACTTTAAAAAAACAAGAAAAAAAAAGTGGTACCAGGCTGTACTAATAGTCATTGTGTAATTCTCACCATATGCTCACCGTGGGTTTTTGTTTGTGTTTGTTTGAGATGGGCTCACTCTGTCACTCAGACTAGAGTGCAGTGGCACAATCGTGACTCACTGCAACCTGTAAATCCTAGGCTCAGGCGATCCTCCCGCCTCAGCCTCTCAAGCAGCTAGGACCACCAGCACACACCAGCATGCCCAGATAGGTTTTACTCCTCATAAAGATGAGGTGTCTCTTGTTGCCCAGGGTGGCCTCAAACTCCTTGCCTCAAGTGATGGGTTGTTGTTGTTTTTTCTTTCTTTCTTTTTTCTTTTTGAGACGAAATTTCACTCTTGTCACCTAAACTGGAATGCAATGGCGCAATCTCGGCTCACTGCAACCTCCCCCTCCCAGGTTCAAGCAGTTCTCGTGCCTCAGCCTCCTGAGTAACTGGGACTACAGGCGCCCACCACCACACATGGCTAATTTTTGTATTTTTATTAGAGACAGGATTTCACCATGTTGGCCAGGCTGTTCTTGAACTCCTGACCTCAGGTGACCTACCTGTCTTGGCCTTCCAAAGTGCGGGGATTACAGATGTGAGCCACCACGCCCGGCCAGTTGTGTGTGTGTGTGTGTGTGTGTATGTATGTGAAAGCTAGTTTCACTTAAGAATGTTCTTGGTTAGGCAGTAAAAGTTGTTATTTTTATTGTATTTTGACTTTTGGCAACACATCTTTTTAGTAATCTCTTGTGATATAATGAGAAGTACACATACAGTACTTCTGCTGTGTGCTAAGGTGTGAAGTCTGATGGCTGTCTTGAGGGAAAAATGCTTGTGTGATTGAGTTATGAGCTAAACTGGCTGCTTTTTTCATGGAGTATTGTTTTTGTTTGAAAGAATGACAGGTTGTGGTTTTTTCAGACCATTTGGATATTTGGCAGGTTTTTTTGTTTTGTTTTGTTTTGTTTTGTTTTTAATGAGCAAAGGGAATCTGTTACTTTAAGGTAAAGGAACTGGCAGTATTTGTTGTGAACAATAAAGTTAGAGCTTTCAAGAAAAAAAATAGAATTGTGGAAAACTTGCGTTCACCCCACTGAGTGTGACAGCTTCTCTATAATTAAAGATTTTTTCTGATGAGATTGGGGGTGATAATAATGAGTGTCATTTTTTAACATCCTATAATGAAATGTAGGTCTGGACTGGAAAATCTGCATAACTCAGTAAACCAACATTTTCCAGATGACGAATGCATGAAGTTTTAAAATCATGTGTGAGTAAAAGATACATTCAAAGTGTAAGGTAGACCAGTGTTTTTTGACGTGACAGAAAATGAAAAGTTCATTGACAAGTATGAGATTTCACTTTACGAGAAATTACATTTGTTAAGTGTTGGTATAGTGTCAAAGAAGAATCTGAAAAATCTATTAAAGTACTTTTCCCTTTTCAACTGTATATCTACATGAGGACAGATTTTTTGTCATATACTTCAATCAAAACAAATTATCAAAACAGATTAAATGCAGAAGCAGATGTGGGTTCTTATGGGGTTATTGTTATTTTTAAATACATACATGTTTTAAAATGTATTTAAATTTCTAATGTAAATATTCATGTATATAATCCCCAAAAGAGTTCTTTGAAGTCCTCAGTAATTTTTAAGATTATCAAGATTTGGAGAAAAAAAAGTTTAAGAATCTCTGCCTTAGAAAATTCTATTTGTAAAGAGAATTATAGGCCTGGAGCAGTGGCTCATACCTGTAATCCCAGCACTTTGGGAGGCTGAGGTGGGTGGATCACCTGAGGTCAAGAGTTCAAGACCAGCCTGGCCAACACGGTGAAACCCCGTCTCTACTAAAAATATAAAAATTAGCTGGGCGTGGTGGCACATGCCTATAATCCCAGCTACTCCAGAGGCTAAGGGCACAAGAATTGCTTGAACCCAGGAGGTGGAAGTTGCAGTAAGCTGAGATCGCGCCACTGCACTCTGGTCTGGGCAACAGAATGATACTCTGTCTCAAAAAAAAAAAAAAAAAAAAAATGGAGAATTATTAAGTGCAATAATAAGGCGCTTTGAAGTGTTGGAAGTGTCTGAATTGTTTTTTTTCCTCATGAAATGTAACAGCAGAATACCAGGGCACACTCCCTGCAACTTTAGGGCCCTTTCTTCATCCCCTCTACTGAGGGACACATGGAAGAAGTGAGACCAGCTTTGGTGACATGAGTTCTTATGGCTGCCCCGAAGAGTCTCCCTAATTTCCAGAGGGCAAGGGCAGAGCTAGCTGTGGGGAAGCATTCGGGTCAGCAGGACGAGCATCCTGTCCATGAACTAGAAGGCAGGTAGCAGAGCGTGGGCTCAGGGCACAGGCGTTAGAGTCAGCCTGGGTTTGCTTATAGGCTCCCTCACTGGCTGTTACCTAACTGCTTTACCCCTCAGGGCCCTCAGATATAAGCTTGGAATAATAATACCTACTTCTTGGGAGTTGTGAGTTTACAGAAAAAAAAAAGTATAAATTTTTAAACCCAGAACCCAGTATGTAGTTACTGCTTAATGATAGCTGCTCTGATGATGATGATGATGATGATGATGCTCTCTTTTTGACTCATTGGTGACTTCTGAGGCTGAATATTTTTGTCATCCCCAGCAAGGCTGAATTCACATGTTTTTATGGTATATAACTTTCTTCCCCTTTTTTGTAACAGTGCCAGCAGCTGTAGCATCACCTCAAAGTGGCAGTAAGTGTAGACGCATTGAATTGCCTTAGCTCTGGAGATGGGTTTGAGTGTTTGCTCTGTCTCCATGATACAGGACTTAGAGTAGCTGCTGGAAATTAGTTGGTCTAGATCTGAGGATGCTTTGGGCTGGGTTTCATGGCTTGGGCTCTTATATTTGACTGTTACTTTTTACGCTCTTCCTCGTGGAACACTTTGCCAAGGTACTGATTTTGCAAGATAAGATCTTCAGACTCACAAGTACCTTGTAGCTTCAGTAAACTTTGTGTGATCCTTTCTGCTGATGCCGAGTGAAGGTGCATGAAACGCTCTGCTCTAAAATTGGAGTTGAAAGCATCTTACAGTGCTCATAAGACAGCTGGCTATTTAGATCTCTGATTTTTAGTCTTTCAGGAACTTCTAAAGATTTATGTAGGAGAGCAGTATGGAACAGTATTTTTCTAGTAGTGGTTTTTATATGTATCCCTGTATTTGGAACTTCCAATGTTTATTTCTTTTCCATAGGTTGCAACAGATTTGAAGTGACACTAGAGAAATCCAATAAGAACTTCTCCAAAAAAATTCAGCAGGTAAGCAGTGATGGCAGTCCTTACAAGAATATTTGACTTATATGAGACCCTGTCAGACTAGAATTTTGGTAATGTTATTTATGTATTTATGTATGTATGTATTTTTCTTTTTTTTGAGGCGGAGTCTCGTTCTGTCACGCAGGCTGGAGTGCAGTGGCGCGATCTTGGCTCACTGCAAGCTCTGCCTCCTGGGTTCACGCCATTCTCCTGCCTCAGCCTCCCGAGTAGCTGGGACTACAGGCGCCCACCACCACACCCAGCTAATTTTTTTTATTTTTAGTAGAGACGGGGTTTCACTGTGTTAGCCAGGATGGTCTTGATCTCTTGACCTCGTGATCCGCCCGCCTCGGCCTCCCAAAGTGCTGGGATTACAGGCATGAGCCACCGCGCCCGGCCGGTAATGTTATTTATTAACTCCGAATCCTCTTCTCTTTGACCTTCCATTTATCCAGGAGTCTCTGCCCATATATCATGTGCCTGAGATCCTCTCTCACAAGCAGAAATGATAATCACAGAAATTGTAATGCCCAGAAAAATAAGTGAGAGCCCTGTAACTGGATAGGCTCCGTGGTCCCTTTTTAGTACTGTTATTGAATGAACATTTGCTAAACCTTGTCAGAAATGTTTAATTGAGCCTCATGATTTGCTGTTTTCCAGATCCATGTGGTTTCCCAGTTTAAGATTCTGGTCAGCTTGTTAGGTAAGAAAAGGAGTTGCATTTGTATCCTGTGTTTAAAAAGAAAAGAGATGACTAATTAACCCTTTCATGGTTAATTTGATAGTGGTTACTTAACAATGAACAGGCGTGTTCCAAATCTGGTATAACAGGGTACATGGGTAATAAAGGCAGCAGCATCCTCCATAAACTCGAACTCTGCTCTCCAAGGAGTCTCACTTTATTCATTCATTCATTCATTGATCAAATATTTATTGAGCCTATTCTATGCAAAGTCTGGACTAGACATTGGAGATACCAAGTTCAGTGAGACATCGTTGCTATCTTTGAGATTTACGTTCTGATTACAAAGACTAAATGACAGGAAGTAATCACGATACAATGTGGTAAGTTACAGTGGCATGATCTCAGCTCACAGCAGCCTCTGCCTCCTGGGTTCAAGCAATTCTCCTGCTTCAGCCTCCCGAGTAGCTGGGATTACAGGCACCCACTACCATGCCCAGCTAATTTTTGTATTTTTAGTAGAGACAGGGTTTCACCATGTTATCCAGACTGGTCTCAAACTCCTGACCTCAAGTGATCTGCCTGTCTCGGCCTCCCAAAGTGCTGGGATGACAGGCATGAGCCACTGTGCCTGGCCAAGCTCAAATGTTTAAGGAAGAAAATATCCAAGTTTAGACGACCAGGTGACCTCTTAAATGTTTTGTGCTGGTAATAGGTGAGAATGAATCATCTTAGTGAAACTGAAGGTACATCTTCAGCCAACATCGCCATTTGCTTCTTCTAGATGTTAACACAGTTACTTTTTTTGCCTCGATAGTGGCTATACTAGAGAATTATTATCATTGATTCTGATGTTATACCTCCTCCCAAACAGAAAATAACATTTATGTCCATGACCTATTGACATTTCAACAAATCACTACAGTTTCAAAGGCAAAGGGAGCATCACTGTTTACGTGTGACCTCCAGGTAAGTTTACCCGAGATGAAATTTAGCTTTATGCTTTAATCAATACAGTCTTTCCTACATCATTCCTACCATTAGATGGGAAGAATGACATTGATGATCCATACCCAACGGAGACTCCAAAGATAATTTTTATTTTTTTTCCTGAGATAGAGTCTTGTTCTGTCGCCCAGGCTAGAGTGTAGTGGCATGATCTTGGCTCACTGCAACCCCTACCTCTTGGGCTCAAGTGATTCTCTTGCCTCAGCCTCCTCTGTAGCTGGGACTACAGGCATGCACCACCATGTCCAGCTATTTTTTGTATTTTTAAAATTAGAGATGGGGTTTCACCATGTTGGCCAGGCTGGTCTCGAACTCCTGACCTCAGGTGATCCGCCTGCCTTGGCCTCCCAAAGTGCTGGGATTACAGGTGTGAGCCACCGCGTCCGGCCCAAAGAGAATATTTAATTGTGTCAGAGAAATTTCTCTATTGGTGCGTAGTGTGAAGTTGAAGCATTTGCATTCCCTTTGTGTAGGTTAATGAGAATCTAGTGCTATTGGCAAGAGACAACTAACCACGGACAAAAAGCTTGTCCTGGACAAGCCATTATTGGGAAAGCAAGACTGTAACAATATCATGAAGATAATTATAAGACATTAAATGGACTCTTGTTCTAAACAGATCACTGAGGTCTTTGTCATTAGGGACTTTTCATTGTTTGGAAAAGACATCTCTCTTTATTTTTGCCAATTTATCATTTTTGCATTCTTCAGAATCTGCCTCACCCCTCTACTCAACTTACAATTTTTTAGCATTTATGTTCTACAATGACACTGCATCATTTTATGCCTAGAAATATTCTTTTCCTTACTCTTTAAAGGCTTAAAAGTGGGCTTGATGTCACTAGCACATGATCACGCCTGACCCAGCATGCGTTGATGGCCAGGAGCAAGAAACATTTAAGAGAAAAAAAGGGGGGAGGAGTTATATAGGGGAAGGACTGGCCCAGGATTTTCTTCTCTGAATTGTGAATGTCCATGTGATTTGCTGGTGCTGTGGTCTTTGGCTGGCAGCCTTTCCGGAGGAAGTGTTCCTCAGTCACTTGTTTCTTAGTGCATCTTAGAGAATGGTGTTCTGCTCAGCTTCCCTGGCAGGATGACTGTGTCACAGGGAATTTTCAGACTAGTAGCCATTTCAAGGTAGACAGTCTCTAATTTAGTCATCACTCAGTTAGGGAGAGTCATTGTATTCTCATTTGCTCTGCGTGTCTCCTCCCAGCACACAGAGACCGGTGAGGAAGTGTTACGGATGTGTGTGGCAGTAAAAAAGAAGCTGCAGCTCTATTTCTGGAAGGACAGGGAATTTCATGAATTGCAGGTAAGTCCTCTGTTCCTTGGCCCATGGGTTGAGTAGGAACTGCTGCAGTAGCTCAGTTCTAATGAAGTTCAGGATTCCAGTCTTGTCGTTCTACACAGATGAATACTCTGGTATGAAGTGCATGAGAGCTTGTTGATGCTTACTTGTAATATGATTCTGCAGTGTTTCTAAAGATCGGTTTATTACAAAGTGGGTTTTCACCGTTTCCAAATGTACTTTGTCCAGTTCGTGGACTTGTATTTTTGTTAAGGGTAGTTTCCCGGCCTTGTGCCCGTAGAATTGTGCCTGGTGAGGGCGAGGGTTGTTTTGCAGAATGGAGGTTGCAGAATAATAGGAAAGTCATGATGTTTTTAAAAAATATTTATTTCATTCAGATCCTTGCTCTCTTTTTTCAGGGGGACTTTAGTGTACCAGATGTGCCCAAGTCCATGGCGTGGTGTGAAAATTCTATCTGTGTGGGTTTCAAGAGAGACTACTACCTAATACGGGTAAAACCTTATTATTTTGCAAATATCATTAGTTTGTCTTGGGAAAGGTGATTATGTGCTCCGAACTCCAGGTCAAGAGACCACTTTAAGTAGAGCTTTTGGCATAACAGGATTTGTTATTTGTATGTGTAGTTATCATTCATGCTTAGCACTTTTCATAAATAAGATGTCTTATTCAGGACTATTGGGACAAATGATGAAGGCTGCTTACCTCTGTCCAGTGGATCATCATGGACTGCTGTCCTAAGGCTTCAGTGCTCAGGAATTATAAACTAATTTTAGTACAAACTTAAGTATTTTTAAGACTTTGAGTTTCGTCTCCTGCCCTCCTATCTTTTTGTATATTTGTACTAAAAGTGATTTTCAAATTTCAAAAGCCACAGGTGTTTATTACAGAAAATATAGATAAGGAGATAAAGGAAGTACAAATCAACCATAGTCCCCCCACTCAGAAATAGTCACTGCCAACTTTTTGGTATATGAGCTTCCATCCTATTTGTAAAAATACCATGTTATACAATTGTTTTATAACCTGTGTTTTCTCTTAACACAAGTTGTAAATATCCATGATGTTGTTTTTCTCTAATATGCATACTATATGTAGAAAAGATTGATACACTGTTCGTTTCATTGAATAATGTAAATCTCTTAGCTTCACACCCCTCTCGTAATTCAGACATGGCAATTCCAGAAGCGTTTCTCTCTGTCTTCCGCTGGGTGAGCTCTTCACTGTTTTTTGTTTGTTTGTTTGTTTGTTTGGACAGGGTTTCCCTGTGTCACCCAGGCTAGAGTGCAGTGGCAGAATCTTGGCTCACTGCAACCTCTGCCTCCTGGGCTCAAGCAATCCTCCCACCTCAGCCTCCCAGGTAGCTGGAATCAAACACGCCTACCACTATGCCCAGCTAATTTTTGTATTTTTTGGGGAAATGGGGTCGCAACATGTTGCATAGGCTGGTCTTAAACTCCTGGGCTCAAGCAGCCCTCCTGCCTCAGCCTCCCAAAGTGCTGGGATTACAGCCACCATGCCCGGCTCCATTGTTACCTTGTTAATATATTTGTTCCATCTTTGTATCACTTGAATATCCTAATTTTATCAGCATCAGAGTTGCAGACTCCAGGAGGAGTCACTGCTGTGCAACTGACTAAATTGCAATTAGGCCTATAGATGGTGAGAGAGCTCACAAGGAGTAAGGGAACTCAGCAAAAGCTGCAGTTAAGGCTCTCAGTTCTCTGACTACCTTGGATGCTGACATCACCTGCAGGGTGGGAAATCTTGCCTTAGGACCAGGTTATTCAGAAATTACTTATGTACATACAGTAAAATGTATTCTTTTTGGTGTACAGTCCTGTGTTTTGACAAATGCTTAGATTTATGTGACTAATGCCACACTCAAGATTCACAACACTACCATCACCCCCCAACATTCCCTCATATTGCCCCTTTGAAGTCACCTCTCCTTCTCTTCCCAGACCTGTGGTAACCACTCATCTGCTCTTCATCTCCTATAGCTTTGCCTTTTCCAGAACGTCATATAAATTGAATCACACAGTATGTCACCTTTTGAGTCTGGCTTCTTTCCCTTAGCAGAATGCATTGGAGATTCATCCGTGTCATTGTGCGTGTTAATAGTTTATTCTTTTTCATAGCTGAGTAGTAGTCTATGGCATGGATGTTTGTTTATCCGTTCATCAGTTGATGGACAAAGTTGTTTTCCACTGGCGCGGTGGCTCACGCCTGTAATCCCAGCACTTTGGGAGGCCAAGACGGGCGGATCACGAGGTCAGGAGATCGAGACCATTCTGACTAACATGGTGGAACCCCATCTCTACTAAAAATACAAAAAAAAAAAAAATAGCCTGGTGTGGTGGTGGGCGCCTATAGTTCCAGCTACTTGGGAGGCTAAGGCAGGAGAATTGCTTGAACCCAGGAGGCGGAGGTTGCAGTGAGCCAAGATTGCGCCACTGCACTCCAGCCTGGGTGTCAGAGCAAGACTCTGTCTCAATTAAAAAAAAAAAAAAAAAAAAAAAAGTTGTTTTCAGTTTTTAGCAATTTTGAATAAAGCTGCTAAGACATTTGCATACAAGTGTTTGTGTAAACATACATTTTCATTCCTGGGCAAATGCCCGGAAATGGGATTGCTGGGGCATATGATAAGTGTATCTTTAAGGGGCATATGGTAAGTGTATCTTAAACTTTATAAGAAACCAACAAACAAAAAGGCTGCCCCATTTTGCATTCCCACCAGCAGTGAATGCGAGTTCTAGTTGCTCTGCATTCTCGCCAGCACCTGGCATTGTCAGTTGCCAGGCTAGATGCTTTTCTTTGCATTAGAGAACAAAAGAACAGGTTTTTACATTGTGATAACAAAGCTTATTATAATGAACTCCGTAACATTTTCTTATGTCAAACAAGGAACATTATTGGCTTCTCTAGGTTTCGGGTTCTATCTGCATTTTTCCAGCCTGTATTCCTACCTCTGGCTGGGGAATGCTAGGTGACTCACTCTGTTTCTCCCTATAGGTGGATGGAAAGGGGTCCATCAAAGAGCTCTTTCCAACAGGAAAACAGCTGGAGCCCTTAGTTGCACCTCTGGCAGATGGAAAAGTGGCTGTGGGCCAGGATGATCTCACCGTCGTACTCAATGAGGAAGGGATCTGCACACAGAAGTGTGCCCTGAACTGGACGGACATACCAGTGGCCATGGGTGAGACCAGCAGTAGCTGCTGTTTCCCACTTTGGGTTGGGGTTGTGTGCCATTCCTGCAAGAACGGAGTCCCATTCATAGCTTTGGCAGACTGCTTCACATTGTGTCATTCACTTTCCGTTCCCTTTCTTATAAGTAGATGACATTTTAGGGTCATTAAAAATGGGATAGTCTAGTTCTTGCAGGAAGCTGAGGGGGAAAACATATAAACATAAATGTTTATTTTAGGAAGTGATTATCTACTGCTATTTTTTTACTTGTTAGTTTTTTTTTCTTCCTCCTTTTTTTAAGAGTTTTGATTGTGACCTCTGCCAAATAGACTACATTTGGAAATGAGTGGAAATTCGTTGCGTATTCCTACAGTATGAGTAATTCCATATTGAAGGGTTTTTAATGTCGTAATTCCATGTTGAAGGGTTTTTCTATTGTTGCTATTTTGTTGTTGTTGCTTAGAGGCACAGACAACATTTAGGTGATTTAGGTGTCAGTCTCTATTCTACGCATTAGGTGCTTCTGTTCTTATGCTTGCTTCAGGTTCCCAGCTCTCCACAGTGGAATTGCTTGGAAGCATATAACCACTCTTGCCTCATTTTATTTTCAGTCAGAAGAGTGAGTATTACTAAAATAGTTGCTGCTGTGAAGTGGGACATGCTGACGTGCTTTCTGTCTTTAAAAACCCCTGTCTCTGCAGACAAGAGTTACAGTCTTGGATAAAGAGATAAAACAAGGCACCGCTTAAGGTGTTAAATTGGATGAGTTAAAATTCGGTAGTTCAGAGAAAAGGAAGTTTGTTGTTTAATTAGTCAGGAAGAAGCTTCATTACATAGGTAAGATTGGACTAGGTCAGGCAGGGAGTTTGGAACCTGGCTTGAAGAAAAATTTCCATTCAATCTAGGCAGAAAGCAATTTGATAAATGAGTAGAAGTCCAAAGACATGCCGATTTGGGAGAGGGCATAACAGAGCCTGACTTAACACAGGTGGTCTGAATTACAGAGCAGTGAAATAGGGCTGGTTGTTAGATGTCCGTGAGAAGGTCTGGGAGGCCAGTAGATTCCTAAATGGCAGAATGTCTTGATAAAAGCATCACGTTCTGGCTGGGCGCGGTGGCTCACGCCTGTAATCCCAGCACTTTGGGAGGGTAAGGCAGGCAGATCGCCTGAGCTCAGGAGTTCACGACCAGCCTGCGTAACATGTTGAAACCCTGTCTCTACTAAAATATGAAAAAAAAAAAAAAAGCTAGCCGGGCATGGTGGTGTGTGCCTGTGGTGCCAGCTACTTGGGAGGCTGAGGCAGGAGAATTGCTTGAAGGGAGGCGGAAGTTGTGGTAAGCCGAGATTGCGCCACTGCACTCCAGCCTGGGCAACAGAGTGAGACTCCATCTCAAAAAAAAAGCATCATGTTCTAGGGTGATTATTCTGGTTGTGGTTAGAGATGAGTAGACCAGAAGGAAAAGAAATCAAAAGGTCAGTATTTTAGAAGGTCCAAGATTATGGATAGTAACAAGTTTGAGGGGCTTACGGGGCTCTATGAGAGGCTTCCTGATGTTCTAGGGGACCTTGTTTTCCCTTCAGAAGAAGAACGTTGGTAGATGAGTTTAAGAGGCATGTAATATAATGGTCAAGTGTGTTTCTGATTTCCCAGTGTGAGAGTTCCTGGTTTCCAACCTTCGTTAGTGCCTGGGGCCTTCATCGGTGCTTCTCAAAACCATGTCTGTGTCTTACTGCTGAAGTACATTTTGAGGCACTTGCCCTGTGAGGTCTCCTTTGACCCCCAGGCAGGATTAGTCACTTCTCCTTGGTGCTTCCATAACCCTTTCAGATATCTCAGTCACGGCAACTTGTCACACGTGAGCAATCTGTCTCCTCTGTTCCTGTAGGAGCTCTGTGAGGTCTGAATGCATGTCTTGATCCACTTTGAGTCATTACTACATAGTACAGTGCCTGAAACATCAGAGCAACTTAGAAAATGCTTGCTGAATAATTGCAGCATTATCCTTGTCAGTCATTATTTATATGCCTGCTGTATACCAGCCAGTCTCCCAAGTTTTGGAGATACAAAGAGATCCAGACCATCTCTATTGTCAACAAAAGATATGACAACCAAAGGGGTTTCTGTTATAGATTACCTTTTTAGTTAAATGAGAATGTATTCAAGTGGGCCGGATTTTAAAAGGAGAAATAAATTTTACATATGTTTTACAAGTTAGCACTAAAGAGAATTGTACTAACTTTTCAAAATGAGGCCAGAGTAAAAAGAAAAGAAAAAATTCAATATAAAACAATACACTTTTAATTTTATTTTTCTGGTAGGATGAAAAATATCAGCATAATAATAGCAGTAGCATTCAAAATGATAGAACTACAACTTAGTTCTCAGGTTACTCATTTCTGAGTTCCCTCCTAGCTTTGAAATTTTATTGTACTGTTCATTGATAGTATAAATTGCAAATATAATAGGAAAAACTTTTTATCAGAAAATGGATAATTAAACCAGTGCAGCGGCTCATGCCTGTAATCCCAGCACATTGGGAGGCTGAGGCAGGAGGACTGCTTGAGCCCAGGAGTTTGAGACCAGCCTGGACAACATAGTGAGACCCTGTGTCTACAAAAAATAAATTTAAGAAATTAGCTGGGCATCGTGCTGCACGCATGTAGTCCCAGGACTTTGGTGGCTGAGGTGGGAGGATTGCTTGAACCTGGGAGATGGAGGCGGCAGTAAGCTGTGGTCACACCACTCACTGCATTCCAGCCAGGCCTGTAGAGAGAGATGCTGTCTCAAAAAAAAAAAAAAAAAGGAATAATTAGGAACATAAATTCATAGCAGATTAGACACACTAAGAAATTATTTTTATGAATATATTCTTTGAAGTTAAACTTCTATGTGGTAATTATGTATGTAGTGGTTTGCTTTTTAATAATTTTTTTACTTTTAAAAACATTTCTATTTTTAAATGTAAAAAACACATAACATAGAATTTACCACCTGAACCATTTTTAAGTGTATGGTTAAGTGGTAATAAGTATGTTAACATTGTTGTACAATAGATCTTCAGAACTTTTTTATGTTGCAAAACTGAAACTTTATACCCATTCACAACTCCTCAGTTCTCCCTCCAGCCCCTGAAGCCGCCATTCTCCTTTCTACTTCTATGAACTTGACATCTTCTAGATACCTTGTATAAGGGGAATCATACAGTATTTGTCTTTCTGTGATTTAATTTAGCATAACCTTATTTAATTTAGCATAATGTCCTCAAGGTTATGCCTTCCTTTTTAAGGCTGAACCTTAAGAAGGTAATATATATTCCACTTAAAATTTAGGTAATAAAATAATTACTTAAAAAGGTAATACTATACCACATTTTGTTTATCCATCCACCTGTTCATGGATGCTTGGGTTACTTTCACCATTTGGCTACTGTGAATAATGCTGCTACGAACATGTGTGTGCAGATATCTCCTTGAAATCCTGATTTTCAATTGTTTTGAATATATACCCAGAAATGGGATTCCTGGACCACATGGTGATTCTATTTTTAATTTTCTGAGGAACCACCATACTGTTTTCCATAGCAGCTGCACCATTTTACAGTCCCACCAATAGTGCACAAGGGTTCCAGTTTTTCCGTATTCTCGTCAACACTTGTTATTTTCTTTTCTTTTCTTTTTTTTTAATAGTAGCCATCCTAAAGGCTGATAAGGTGATATCTCACTGTGGTTTTTTTTACTAATTCTTGAGATAGTACAGAATATAGTCATAGAAAATACTTCTATTATCTCTAAGTTAGAGAAATTATGTTTCATATAGTATACAAACAATAAATTTATTTTATAGTTCATTGTAAGGTAAAGCAGATCCTTATTCAGTCTTGTTCTGAGATTTGTGTTTTTAAAGATATGTTTTGTGTTGCTTATTTTCTAAATTCCCTCCATTTATGTTAAATCGCCTTCACCATACAACTTCTCAAATATTGGAAGACTTGATTTGCAATGATCTTATGGTTTTGTCAGCTCTGCTTTTTGCATACTGACTTCTTTAGCACCGTGTGGAATTGTTTTGCTTCATCCAGCATGTTAAGCTTTGGACTGTCACATGCCTGTCAAAAAGTATAGAAAAATATAGTGGATATATTAAAAGTTATTTTCAAAAGAGAGAGGAAAAGTGAAGAAAAGGAGTATAACCCAGTAATTTGTACTGGATCAGAAGGGTAAATTTAGGGTTATGGATAGATGAATGAAAGGTGTTTTTTTAGATACAATAGAGGAAAACAATTGTAAGACTTAACAGCAAGTATCAAATAGAAATGCCTACACTGAGAAGTCTGTCCAGCCACCTTCTCTGTGTACCATTAAGCCGTTGTCTTAGTTTATTTGTGCAGCTATAACAGAATACCACAGGCTAGGTAATTTATAAAATACAGAAATTTATTTCCTCACAATTTTGGAGACTTGTAAGTCCCAGATCAGGATGCCAGCATCTGGTGTCTGGTAGGGGCCTTCTTGATGCTCCTTCTTCACATTGTGGAAGGAGAAGGGCAAGAGAAAGATAAGCTCTGTGTTCTCACATGGCAGAAGAGAGAGAACCCACTCCCATAAGCCCTTTTTATAGCACATTAATCTGTTGATGAAGCTGGAGCCTCACTACCTAAACATCTCCCTTTAGGCCCTACCTCCCAGCACTTTTGCACTGGGGATTAAGTGTCCAATGCATAAGTTGGGGAGGGAATAAAAACAGTCAAACCATAGCAGCCATCAGGTGGAGCATCACACCTTTTCTCTGTGGAAATCTCTAGCAGAAACAACATTGGCTGGAAATGTGGAACTCTTCCCTTAGAGTAATTTTAGGGAGAATAGAATTTGACTTCCCCACCCCCCTTCCTTTTTATTTATTTATTTATTGTTTTTATTTTATTTATTCATTTTTTGAGATGGGGTCTTGCTCTGTCGCCCAGGCTGGAGTGCAGTGGTGCAGTCTCGGCTTACTGCAAGCTCTGCCTCCCGAGTTCACACCATTCTCCTGCCTCAGCCTCCCGAGTGGTTGGGACTGCAGGTGCCCGCCACCACGCCGGGCTAACTTTTTTGTGTTTTTAGTAGAGATAGGGTTTCACCGTGTTAGCCAGGATGGTCTCTATCTCCTGACCTCGTGATCCACCCGCCTTGGCCTCCCAAAGTGCTGGGATTACAGGTGTGAGCCACCACGCCCGGCCTGTTTTCCCCCCTTTCTAAGAGAATGAAAGAAGGGGTTCTGTTACCTGGTTCTCCCACTGATGCATTATTATGGGCAGCTGCAACTGGCCTTTGTCTGGCCTGGCTTTGCGACTGATGAAAAGGGAGCAAGTGAAACTTTTATCCAGTTCTTTGGGGAATAAAGCAGGAGTGGGATCAGGCGACTGTCAGCACAGCTGATGCGTCTTTTTTGTGCAAAAGATTTCTCTTATCATAACTCAAGCAAAGCAATTTTTTTTCTTTTTTTAGAGTCAGGATCTCACTGTGTCACCTATGCTGGAGTGCAGTGGTGCAGTTATGGCTCATTGCAGCCTCAAACTCCGGGGCTCAAATGATCTTCGCACCTCAGCCTCCTGAGTAGCTGGGACTACAGGCGTGTGCCACCACACCTGACTAATTAAAAAAAAATGTTTTTGTCGAGTCAGTGTCTCACTAAGTTGCCTAGGTTGGTCTCAAACTCCTGGCGTACACGACCTTCCCACCTCAAACTCTCAAGTTGCTGAGATTACACGCCAGTTTTTTTTTCTTTCTTTCTGAATCACAGTGTAAGATCCTGGCTTGATAGTTGACTAGTGGACTTTTTGGAGATCCATTTAAGTGTATCTTAGAACGGGCAGCTGAAACACTGCATAAACCCAAAGCCTTAGACCAGAACAGCTGCTTTATATGTTCTCCTTCACAGAGCACCAGCCTCCCTACATCATTGCAGTGTTGCCTCGATACGTGGAGATCCGAACATTTGAACCGAGGCTTCTGGTCCAGAGCATTGAATTGCAAAGGCCCCGTTTCATTACCTCAGGAGGGTAAAGAATTTCTTTTTTTTACTGTGGCTATATATTATCCCAAAGTTGTAAAGTCACCTGTGTCATCACAAAGCCTGTGATCTTTTGCTAATATTCTTACTTTTGCCTCCAGATCAAACATTATCTATGTGGCCAGCAATCATTTTGTTTGGAGACTCATCCCTGTCCCGATGGCAACCCAAATCCAACAACTTCTCCAGGACAAGCAGTTTGAATTGGCTCTGCAGCTCGCAGTAAGTCTCGTTCATGACTAGTCTGCCTTCCTTATTGTTCTTGAAAGTAGGTGATTTGGGTGTCAATGTTCATATTTATTTTGGATTAGTAGACTAAGCACATAGCTGAAAGTCTGGGGCCTTGGATACTAGGTCTGACTCCACCATAAAATATCTGTGTAACTCTAAGTGATTTTACTTTTTCACTTTATCTGTCCAATGTAGAATGAATATCAGTTATAGTAATAGTACCTTGTAAAATTAATGTGAGAGGCCAGGAGCGGTGGCTCACGCCTGTAATCCCAGCATTTTGGGAGGCCAAGGCGAGCAGATCACCTGAGATCAGGAGTTCGAGACCAGCTTGGCCAACATGGCAAAACCCCGTCTCCACTAAAAACACAAAAATTAGCTGGGCGTGGTGGCAGGCACCTGTAATCCCAGCTACTCAGGAAGCTGAGGCAGGAGAATTGCTTGAACCCAGGAGGTAAAGGTTGCGGTGAGCCGAGGTCATGCCACTGCACTCCAGCCTGGGTGACAGAGCGAGACTTTGTCTCAAAAAACAAAAAAAAATTAATGGGAGAATAAAATAATTTAATAGATATTGTATGGTCATGAAAAATTAAAGATAATGCAGACATTAAACTCTAGTAACAATCATAAATATGCTGTTATAGTCAAGTTGAATGCAACAGCTAGAGGACCCCTCAAAATTCCTTTCCACAGTGGACGCCTGTGTTTGGATAAGTAGGCTTTCTTTTGATATTCTGAAACTACTTCAAGTTGTTGTATTCAGCCAAGCTGCAGTCTTATATTTATGATACTTGCTGTAATGTTTGCAAGGGATCTTGTTCACAGCAAAATAGTGACCACCTCTTGTTCCAAGGTTGATGTCAGAGTCTGTGTCTTGTTCTTTTAAACATCCTCAGTGATGATTATTGTCATCTGTAGGGGGTGGATTTGCTTTTAGGAAGCAACCAAAAGACATTCTGAGCCTAACCTAGTTGTTAAACCAGATATTGCTACTTTATGTATTTGGGGGGTTTTTTAGTTGTTTTGTTTTGTTTTGTTTTTGTTTTTTTTGAGACAGGGCCTCACTCTGTCACCCAGGCTGGAGTGCAGTGATGCAGTCTTGGCTCACTGCAGCCTCAACCTCCTGGTCACAAGTGATCAGCCCACCTCAGCCTCCTGTATTGCTAGGACCACAAGCATGTACCACCACACCCAGCTAATTTTTTTTATTTTTTGTGGAGATAGGGTCTCACTTTGTTGCCCAGGCTGGCCTTGAACTCCTGAGCTCAAGTGATGCACCCGTCTCAGCCTCCCAAAGTGCTGGGGTTATAGATGTGAACCACCATGCCCAGCCTCAGATAGTGATACTTTAAAGAAGAGATTTTTATGAAGATGATAGTAATAAAACTGAATTTCTAGGGTATCCTGTAAACAGTTTCTGAAAGGAAAGCAATTTTTTAGAATGCAGATACTTTTAGTTATCTATGGTGGCTACTCGTGAAGAATATTTACTTTGGATATATATGTTCTGGGTTTAAAATAAAAATCTGGTAGTCTCATAGTGTGACCTAGTTAATATTCCATAAAGATGATTGCTTTCTTGGAGCACTGAATTTCAGCATCTTACTGGTTTTTTTCTACTCATGCATTGTCCTGTATTATTTTATTTTCATTTTTAAAAATAATACAATGAATGCCCATGAACGCACCATCCTACCCAAGAACCATAACTTTTATAACTTTTTATAGTCCTTCCCATCCCATCCCTCTGCCTCTCCTCCAGATGTAATCATTATCCTAAATTTTGTATTTGTCATGACCTTACTCTTTTACATATACATTTAAAATATATATTTAATATATAAATACATGTTTACATTTAAAATATGTATTTAATGATTAAACACATATGTTTAATCTTTTACATATATTTAATATATGGAAGTATGTATTTGGTTTTTGAACTTTATAGAAAGGTTATGCAGTAGGAAACTCTTTAGTCTATTTTTCTCAGCAGGAAGGTTTCAGAGTCTTTTCAGTGATCTTCCTAGTTCAGGTTGTTTAATCTCAGGTAAAGAAAATGGAAGTGGGTTCCCATTTTTCCTTCTCTTTTCTGCCCTTTTTATGACAAAAAAGGTTTGATTGACATCATCTTAGTCCAGGAAGAACCTATCATTTATTTGAATAGATAAGCAAACATAATAGAACTTTCAGAGGGAAATTACAAACTAAACTTTGGCATTGATAAGTCCTGGAGCCAAGTGTCAGAGAGGGACAGTTCACTGTGGGCTGGAAAAGGCATCCTACAGCTGGACACTTGAGTTGACCCTTTAAGAATATGTTAGATTAGGATCAAGAGCAGGAAATGGAGCATTCCATTCCAGATGGAGAGGAAGTTAAAGAAGTGAAAAGTGTGGCCTATGTCCATCACATTTGGAGCCTGTCCTGACTGGAGAAGAAGGTGTGGCATAAGTGTTCGGGACTCAGCTAGTTAGGGAGGCTGGCACCAGGTTTTGGAAGCCTTTGAAGCACCAAGCAGGAGAGCTGAGACCAGGGACAGCCACATGTTGGTGATGGCTTGGACTAGTGTGGCGGTAACAGGAAAAGAAAGGAAGGGGGGAAATTGACAGACATTTTGAAAGGAAAAACTAAATTTGATAAAGATTGGCTAACGAGGTATAAGGAGAAAATAGGTTATGAGGAAGAAGCAAAGTTCATAGCAGCTGCATTTGTTTAGCTTTTACTGAGACTAGGACCTTTCCCAACTGTGCCAGCTATGCCAGATGGCTTTTTTTTTTTTTTTTTCCCCAAGACAGAGTTCAGAGTCTTCCTCTGTTGCCAGGCTGGAGTACAGTGGTGCAATCTTGGCTCACTGCAACCTCCGCCTCCTGAGTTCAAGCAGTTCTCCTGCCTTGGCCTCCTGAGTAGCTGGGATTACAGGCATGTGCCACCACGCCCAGCTAATTTTTGGATTTTTAGTAGAGACGGGTTTCACCATGTTAGCCAGGCTGGGTCTCGAACTCCTGACCTGAGGTGATCCACTCACCTTGGTCTCCCAAAGTGCTGGGATTACAGGCGTGAGCCACCGTGCCTGACCCAACCCATCCTTTATGTCTCAGATTAGGTCCCTCTTGGAATCCATGCTGGACCCCTGACTCAGACTGGATTGGGGACCCCTCTCACATGCTTGTCATCACTCTTACCCTATTTTGTTTTGATTTTGTGTTTTTAAACTAAACTAGGTTTTATTCAGATTTGACCAGTTTTTCTATTAGTGTCCTTTTTTTTGTTCCAGGATCAAATCCAGAAATCAGATTGCATTTAGTTGTCATGTGTCCTTAGTGTCCTCTGGTCTGTGACATTTTATCTTTCCTTGTTTTTCTTTTTTTTTTTGGAGACGGAGTCTTGCTCTGTCGCCCAGGCTGGAGTGCAGTGGCCGGATCTCAGCTCACTGCAAGCTCCGCCTCCCGGGTTTACGCCATTCTCCTGCCTCAGCCTCCCGAGTAGCTGGGACTACAGGCGCCCGCTACCTCGCCCGGCTAGTTTTTTGTATTTTTTAGTGGAGACGGGGTTTCACCGTGTTAGCCAGGATGGTCTCGATCTCCTGACCTCATGATCCGCCTGTCTCAGCCTCCCAAAGTGCTGGGATTACAGGCTTGAGCCACCGTGCCTGGCCCTTTCCTTGTTTTTCATGACCATGACAATTTTCAGGATTACCAGTTAGGCATCTCGTAGAAACCCTGTTGTGTTTTAATTGCGTACTTAGCAGTCTTACAGTTAGATTGTAAGGGCAGGCTGCAAGGCGGATACCATGTGGCTGTCTCGTACACTTTGTTTTATTTTTTATTTATTTATTTATTTATTTTGAGATGGAGTCTCACTCTGTCACTCAGGCTGGAGTGCAGTGGCATGATCTTGACTCACTGCAGCCTCTACCTCCTGGGTTCAGGTGATTCTCCTGCCTCAGCCTCCCAAGTAGCTGGGACTACAGGCACTTGCCACCACACCTGGCTACTTTTTTGTATTTTTAGTAGAGACGGGGTTTTACCATGTTAGCCAGAATGGCCTCGATCTCTTGACCTCATGATCTGCCCGCCTCGGCCTCCCAAAGTGCTGGGATTACAGGCGTGAGCCATCACGCCTGGCCTTGTCTTGTATGCTTTGGCGTCTGTAGCTCCTAGCATCTTCTCTAACATCAAGAACATACTGAACAGTATTTGTTGAGTGAGTGAGCTCTTACCTATTCTACTCCGTTATTAGGAAATGAAAGATGATTCCGACAGTGAAAAGCAACAACAAATTCATCACATCAAGAACTTGTATGCTTTCAACCTCTTCTGCCAGAAGCGTTTTGATGAGTCCATGCAGGTCTTTGCTAAACTTGGCACAGGTAACAAGTGGTGAGGCTTCATATAAGGAACTGGTGGAGGAGGGGAGCCTGAAAAGTATGAGAAGAAATGATAATAGACTTCTGAGAATGGAGAAAGTTTAGGCTCAGCTAAATTGATCCTCATACCTAACAAGATCCTGTGGGGTGGCCATAGTGGTTACCTATCGATACTCCTAATCCTGTGAATCTGGTCTTCTCAATAAATGTGGACTCCCAGTTTTCCAGTATGATATGCCCTTGCCATTAAAGAAAGGTAGCAGCAGGTCATTCAGTTCAACAGATGGGTATTTGATCAGCTAGTGTTTATTGAATGCTGTCCTAGACCAAATTCCTTGGATTAAACTGCAAATCATTTTTGAGAGCCAACACAGGGCAGTGCCATGAAGCCCTTCCTTTTCTTAGTGTCCTGAAACCTCTCGATGTGAGTGTAGTGGTGAGGAGCAGGTGCCCTGGGGTCTGCCTGAGATCCGGCAGAGTACTGGACCTCTCTGTGTTTCTGCTTTCTCCTCTGCAAAAAAGGGATGATCATACTACTGCTTACCTTAGAGTGTTGCTGTAAGGATTATATGAAGTGCTTTGAACAGTGTGTGGCACTTAACAAGTGCTCTGTAAGTGTTTGATGTTATTAGTATTGAATATCATTACTGTATATTCAAAACTGTATATTCCAGTTTTGCTTAATTTGGATCAATCTATATATATACTTGGTTTGACTCTGTATCATACTAGTATCTCCTCTTCTCCTCTTCATTGCTTTGCCTTTTTTCTATCATTCCTCAACCTTGGCCAGTAATGAACTGTGATAACTCCCTGTATCAGTCAAGATTCTTGGTTGTGAGCAATGGAGACCAACTCTGGATCGTTTAAGTAGAATCTGGATAAATTAAGCAGAGTTTATTGGAATATTAGGGTAATGACAGTTGGAAGAACCCATAAAATTAATGGGAGATTAGGTGGGGAATAGATGGAAATGAAGGGAGCTCTGGAGGCCCTCCCAGCTGGAAACAGGAAGCCAGAGAATGATCAGTTTGCAGCCAGGACAGGCTGGGCCATCCTGCGCTAGCATAGCCACGTCCTTAGCCGTTGCCACTGCCACTTCCCCTGTTGTTGCATCCCTGATAAAAATTGCTATCTACAGTGTATTAGCTATCTAATGCTATGTCACAAATCTCCCCAAAACTGTATGGCTTAAAGTAACAGTAGTCATCCATCTCTGTTAGTACTTGTTGGTCGGGAATTTGAGAAGGGGTCAGCTGCACTGTCCTTGCTTCACGTCTCTCAGGCAGTTGTAGTCTTATGTCAACTGGCCTACCATCATTTGAAATCTGGACCGAGCTAGAAGATCCACTTCCAAGCTGGCTCACTCATATGGCTGACAAGGTGGTTCTAGCTGGAGCTGGGGGCCTCAGTTCTTGTCCAAGTGGGTCTCTCTTCAGAGCTGCTTGAGTGACCTCATGCATAACAGCTGGCTCTTTCTGGAAGGAGTGTCTAAGAGACCTAGGCAGAAGCCTCAGTGGCCTTTATGACTCTCACTCCTGCTATATTCTGTTGGTTTACAAGGGTCCTGCCATGTTCAAGGCAAGGAAGTTCAGACTTCGCCTCTGGAGGGAGGAGTGTCATGTTACCTACGAGGAGCACATAGGATGGGATGTATGATATATGTTGGTGTGTACCACACTGCTTGTCATCCTTGCATCATTTTCTCCAGATCAGGGGATCTGATTAGCCAGGATTAGGTCATGGTCTGATCCCCAGACTCTACCAGGGGTGGAGAAAGAGGTTTGGCTCCCCGCTGCTTCTGAAGGCAAAGATAGGTCCCTAGAGCTATCCTCCCACCAAGACTCCACATAGCCTGGGAGAGAGAACTTGCCCTTATCTGAAGTACCTAGAGTAGGCAGATTCATGGAGACCACAAGTAAAACAGAGGTTCCCAGGGGCTGGAATGGAGGGACAATAGGGAGTAATTGTTTATTATTGGGCAGTTTCAATTTGAGATGATGGAAGAGTCCTGGAGATGGATGGTACTGATGGTTGCACAACAGTGTGAGTGTATTTAATGCCGCTGAGTTGTAGGCTTACAAATGGTTAAAAGGATAAATATTGTAGTGTGTATATTTTACCACATATAGACACAGATTGTTGGATGAGTTGAAGCAGCAGAAGACGGGGGTCTACTACTGGACATGGATATGGGCATATCCCTGTGACCCAGAGGTCAGCAAGTTGCTGCTGCTTCCACTGCCTAAGGCCTGCAGTGACCTCCGTTCCCACAGAGCTGGCGACTGGGTGTGGGCTGCTGTATCCAGGCAGGTGCCTCTACGGAGTGGCAGAGCTGTAACCAGATACTGGCAGTGCCGTGTCTGGCGGCACACACACATGAGCTGGAAGAAGGAGGCTTCCGTCTCACTTTCAGTTCCACATCTCGTAGCCTGTGTCTGGTGGAACCAGATTTTCACTTAGAACCCTGACTGCTAGGGAGTTTGAGAAAAGTCGTTTTCAGTTTTATAGCCCCTGTGGACTAGAAAGGAGTAGAAAGGAGTAGAAATGGATGGGAAGTGCCAGTTGACCAATAAACAATAGCGTTCCACAGTATTATAAATTATAATAAATGTAAATTATAGTAAGTTATATAACCAGTTAACCAGCCCCCAGTGGCAGTGAGGGGATATGTTGGCTACTTACAGCATTTTGTTGTTACAATCTGGGAGTCGCCAGGTACAGTGGCTCATGCCTATAATCCCAGCTTTTTGGGAGACCAAAGAGAGAGGATTGCTTGAGCCCAGGAGTTCAAGACCAGTGTAGGCAACATCGTGGACATCATCTTTATAAAAAATTTAAAAGTAATTAGTTGGCAGGGTAGTAATGCCTGTAGTCTCAGCTACTTGGGAGGGTGAGGCAGGAGGATCACTTGAGCCAAGAGGTCAAGACTATAAGAAGCCAAGATTGTGCCACTGTACTCCAGCCTGGGAGACAGAGCAAAACCCTGTCTAAAAAAAAAAAAAAAAAAAAAATCTGTGAGCATCTGTGAGAACATAAATTCTAAGGCAGAAGGAAAATGTCACCTCTTTGATATTGTTAATGTGTGCCATTTTGATTCTCATTTAGCGAACATTTTCCCACTTATTTATACTCTCTTGTCAGTTGGTCTTGTCTTTTGGTCATTTATCAAATGAAGTCTTACATTTTATTACCAATTTATGTGAATTTGTTTATCTAATCAGCATATTACCCTCTTTTTAAAAATTTTTTTGAGACAGGGTCTCCACTCTTGCCCATGCTGGAGTATAGTGGCATGATTCACAGCTCACTGCAGCCTCGACCTCCTGGGCTCAAGCGATCCTCCCACCTCAGCCTCCCAAGTAGCTGGATACAGGCACATGCCACCATGCCCAGCAAATTTAAAATTTTTTTGTAGATATGGGGTCTCACAATGCTGCCCAGTCTTGTAATCAACAAATTAGTCTCTTGCCGTGTGTACTACAAATATATTCCCTAGCCTATTGTCTTTTTTTTTAGTAATGTTTCTTTTTCTGACATAAATTTTTTATTGTTAAGTTTCTTGATTTCTTCTACTTCAACATCAGCATTTTTCCTTAGAAATTTTTTATTCTCTACTTTCAGATGCTTGATAAATATTCAATTCTAATTCTGTGTGTGTATTTGAATATAGTCATGCCATTTTTGTGATGTTTTAGTGAATTTTAACATATGTATAAAGAATGCTCAAATCATAAGTCTACAGCTCATTGAATGTTTATGAACTGAGAGTCTTTTTTAAAAAAATCAGTCTGGAACTTATTTTGCTATAGTAATAGTCTTGTTTTATTTTATCCCTGAATTGTTGGGCTCCTTTCCAGAGGAATCATGTTTACCTTCCATATAGATCCCACCCATGTGATGGGCCTGTATCCGGACCTGCTGCCCACAGACTATAGGAAGCAGTTGCAGTATCCCAACCCACTGCCTGTGCTCTCCGGGGCTGAATTGGAGAAGGCTCACTTAGCTCTGATTGACTACCTGACACAGGTAGGCGTAATACAGAGTGCGTGAGAGAGTTTGCCTGGGAGCTTCAGTACTTGTTTCTCTATGGCAAGGAATTTAAGGCCTTCTCTAATGCTAAGGCATTCTATAAATTAATGCTCTAGGAAGTCTGCCTGGGGTAAAGTTTCTTTCTGCTACTTCTTCTAACTTAACAGTACCATTGAAGTGGGGTTTTCTGCCAAATCTTGATAATAATAAACACACCCAATTCCTAGTAAATTCACACTAAGCTGTTATAGAAACTAAAACAGGTAAATTTTAGTTGATAGAAGCATACAAGTTTTTTTAAAACAAACTTTTTGTAACATACGTGGTTTTGGGGAAAATGCCTCCTGTATGTGGAACCACTTGGAAAACACACAAAAAAAGTACAAAACAGAAATACAGATTACCTGTAACTCTACCACCAGAATATAAGAAACTAACATTTTAGTGTTGTCCTTCTAGACTTTTATGTCTGTGAATTAGCTTTTGTTTATTTACTTCTTGGTTTATTTATTGCAAATGGATATCAAATTATAGATTGTTTTATAGCTTACTTTTAAAAAATGTAGCCATATACTAAGAAAGTACTTCCTTGTCAATAAATATCCTTCTGTAACATGTTTTTAAGGGAGGTATTTAGATTTAAAATTTTTTATGATTTACTATTATAGACATGTATTTTTTAAGTCAGCACTAAAACCAGCATCTCCATTAAAGTCCCTTAATCCTAGATTTCTGTCACAGAAGGCTGTTGTTTATTTCCTGTGTACCCATTCAGAATCAGAGACCTTATTGATATTTTTTCCTCTTAAGTGTTCTGCAGACCTTTGTAAGGGGTCTCCAGAACGCTCCAGGGTAGGCACTGAGTATTGCTGTTGGCTGGGCGCGGTGGCTCCTGCCCGTAATCCCAGCACTTTGGAAGGCCGAGACAGGAAGATCACCTGAGGTCAGGAGTTTGAAACCAGCCTGGCCAACATGGTGAAACCCTTCTCTACTGAAAATACAAAAATTAGCTGGGTGTGGTGGCCCACGCCTGTAATCCCAGCTACTCAGGAGGCTGAGGCAGGAGAATTGTGTGAACCCAGGAGGCGGAGCTGGCAGTGAGCTGAGATTGCACTACTGCACTCCAGCCTGAGCGACAGAGTGAGACTCTGTCTCAAAAAAAAAAAAAAAAAAAAAAAGAAGAAGTAGTATTGCTGGAAAAATTGTCATGCTGCTTTCCACTCCCTGCCTCTGGGTCAGTGAGTTCCCGCAGGTCTGATCAGGCATGGGTGGCCTTGGCCCCTCCTTGACACTGGGCTCCAAGGGTACCCTCCTGGGGCTGGCAGCCTGCAAGGAGCACACAAACTTGCCACTGCCTACACACTGCACACACTGTGCTAAGTAAAAAAGATTCCTGGGCATAGTATCTCCCAAAGCCTGTGGCACTGTGGAAGGCCCTCCACTGCCAGGGTCTTAGCCGTGGGAAGGTGAGCACATGTCCTTCCCTGGCCTTCTTCACTGATACTGGGAATGCATGAAGTAACTGACACTAATATTGTGCCAGAGAGATGGCAGAGCAAGACCATGGGCTCTGCCAGACTCAAGAGAATACCTACTGGATGAAGTTCTAGGATAGGCAGAAACTCATCTCCAGGGATCGAAAGCAGATCAGTGGGTGGGATTGTTTGGGAACAGCACGAGGAACTTTCTGGAGTGATAGAAATGTTATCTTCCTTCACTGAGGTGGTGGTTACATGCATGTACACATCTGTCAAAATGTATCTGATGGTACACTTTAAAAGATTAGGTTTTATTGTAAGTTATACCTCAATAAGGTTGATTTAAAAAAAAATAAAAGAACATGGGCTTTGGAGTCAGACCCCTCTTTGAATCCTGCCTTACCCCTTATGTAGCAGCTGACATCTGTGCCTTGGGTTCCTCACCTGTAAAATAAGGATAATATTATCGGCACTTGTTTTAGGATTAAGACGGTATATATAAAGTGCTTGGCATGGTGCCTGGTCTGTAGTAAATATTCAATAAATAATTGTTGTTGTCTCTGTGGCAGTTTGGCAGTACTAAAAATCGAATGCTAATGTGAGATCAGGCCAGTGGGCATGAGCTGATTAGGAGGTATTCAGAATTACTCAGTAGCTCAGGTGACAAAGGAAGACTTAGTCCTGGCCTTAACCCCACATTTTGACCTTTGCAGAAACGAAGTCAATTGGTAAAGAAGCTGAATGACTCTGATCACCAGTCAAGCACCTCCCCACTCATGGAAGGCACTCCCACCATCAAATCCAAGAAGAAGCTGCTACAAATCATCGACACCACCCTGCTCAAGTGCTATCTCCATGTGAGTTACCTGAGCGCTCGGGTGCTGTGATTCCCAGTCACCCTGACAGTCTGGGAAAGTAAAAGGAGTGCTAGACCCTGGGGGACCTGCCACTAGTAAGAGTGAAGTCTTTGATTCTGGAAACCATATAGACTGTCCTGATGCTTGTGAGTCTCTTGGAATTAAGAGGATAAGGCAAGATATCAATGCACAATTGTACAGTAGGTTCATCTTCTCTGGTCGGATTGCAGTTCGTGCTACAAAGTCAGCTGGGACAGTATTTCCTTCAAGAAGTTCTGTCCCTCTTCTCCCCCACAGAACATTAAAACACATTGTGTGAAGGTCCATAAATGCTCTAAAAGCCTCTACCTGCTATCCTGAAAGAGGGCTGTCTGCTTCCTCTTGCTTGTGCTACATTCCTGGCCTTTCAGCCTAGAGCAGGCCTGGGCTAGGGAAGCAGTTTCCACTGAACTCCTGCTCTTTCTGCAGACGAATGTGGCCCTGGTGGCCCCCTTGCTACGCCTGGAGAACAATCACTGCCACATTGAGGAGAGCGAGCACGTGCTGAAGAAGGCTCACAAGTACAGTGAGCTCATCATCCTGTATGAGAAGAAGGGGCTCCACGAGAAAGGTGTGGGGGCGGTTCCTTGGATCTGGGAGGGACTCTTGTACATGGCAGCGGAAACCTACTGAGATGTGACAAATCTCCCGTGGGGAGAAGGCTCATGGCATTGTTCTTGGGCTTGGTGGCCAGCTCTGCAGGTGCTTGTGGACCAGTCCAAGAAAGCCAACTCCCCTCTGAAAGGCCACGAGAGGACAGTGCAGTATCTGCAGCGTCTGGGTAAGTCCACCTTTAGAAAGGGAGGGGAAAGCGCTCCTGTTCAAACAACCGGGTCTCCTTCCGTTTCTGTTTCTGCTTGGTTGCTCCCCTCCTTCCATGCTTGTGTTCACTCAATTTCATTCCTCCAGATGGCATAAAAATCCCTCGGTGGTTGACCTGTGACAGCCCCCTGCTATGGAGTCAGCCCAGTAGGACTAACAGCCCCGAGTAGCTCATGCTTGAGCTATCTTTTCAGGAAAATGAATTCTGGGGCAACCTGCCCACCTGCCTTCCCAGTGCCACGGGCAAGATGGGCCTCAACTGCTGACAAGTCCTGCTTTCCCCTCTAGGCACAGAAAACCTGCATTTGATTTTCTCCTACTCAGTGTGGGTGCTGAGAGACTTCCCAGAAGATGGCCTGAAGGTGAGCCATGGGAGTCCCTTGGATTTATCTGGTGCCGCACTTGGTCCTGACTGCACTTGGGACAGCAGTGGATGGAGAGGAGGGTGGATTCATGCATCCGTCCTCATTGGTGCTAGAAAGGGTGGACTGGGAAGCGTGAGCCAGCGCTGAAGTTGGTAGAGAGAGCCTTGCACAGGCTTGAGGAGGCCTGTGCCTCGTCTGACACGCTGACTGCCTGCAGATCCCTTCTCGTACCCTTCCCCTCCTAAAGCCTGTTTGATCGCTGCGCTCACATGCATGTGTGTTTGGTGGAACTGCAGTCAGATGGTTCTGCTGCTGGAACTCGGGTTCATTCTGACAGATATTTACTGAAGATCTCCCAGAAGTGGAGTCTCTGCCACGTGATCGAGTCCTCGGCTTCTTAGTAGAGAATTTTAAGGGTCTGGCTGTTCCTTATCTGGTAAGGTATTTTTTGGTCTGCACTAAAAAGCTTTAAACCCAGGATCCAGGACTGCATGGTTCTGTTATTCAGCTGTTCAGATTTATGTCACTTGCGGATTGGAAGGATGAGGGTTGTTTCAGCTTCCTCTGAAGAAAAAGATCCCGGTAGACCAAGCTAGAAATGCTACCTAGCAAATCTACGTAAAGTACAGAGGGATGAAAGAATGATGTTTTAGAAAAAAAAATTCCAAAGCCACATTTGTACAGCCAAACTCAAAAGTGACCACAGGACAATCAAATAGGCTTCAGTACCAGGATGCAGATATTTAACCATAATTACACGGGTCGATGTGAGAGTTTGGAGGATTATGGGACCAAATTTGTAAAAAGGAGTTTAGAAATTGAGAAGACGGCTCCTCACATTACTGGGTCGCATTGTGAAACTTCTGGTGACACTTCCCAGTGGCTTTAGATGAGCTGTCTCTTGGTCATCTTTGCAGCCTGATTAGGGGATAATCTGGATGGGACCTCTTGGGCCTTAAAAATGTGCGGGAGGCTGGGAGACCAGGTCACAGCCTGGAGAGTACCAGTGACAAAGACTTCCATCTTGCCTCAGGAACACATCATCCACGTTTGGGAGGAGACAGGCGCTCGGTTCCACAACTGCCTGATCCAGCTGTACTGTGAAAAGGTGCAAGGTCTGATGAAGGAGTACCTCCTGTCCTTCCCCGCAGGTACCAGTTCTCTTAGGAAGTCGGTTGGCCCCAGGCCTTAGAGGAGAGCACAGACCCAGGTACCACCTGTGGTGGGGGTACGCAGGCCACCCTGTTCTCTGCCAAGTTGGGCAGAAGTTCTGAAGAGGAGCAAAGGGAGCTGAGTGACACAGGCCTGGCACATGAGACTCAGGAGCCCTTGTCTGGGTCCTGGCATCTCTGAGTGTCTCAGATTCATCGCTGGGGGAGGGTGGAAGGAACAGATCTGTCTGCCAGATGGCAGCTATACTGATAAACAGGTTTGCCCACAGAGTATTTCTCTACTCAGCTTATTTGTTTTTAACTTTAAGCTGATGTTTTGGGGCCACATAGAGACTGTGAACTAAAAGAAGCGAGCATGGAAGCCACCCTCGAGGCCTTTCTGGTCATGTGGTGACATCCTTGAACCCCATTCCCTTCATTTTTCTTGACCCCACATTGCCATCTGGCAGCATACTTTCATGTTGAGCTTGGTTTCCCTTAAAGGCAAGACCCCAGTCCCAGCTGGAGAGGAAGAGGGCGAACTGGGAGAATACCGGCAAAAGCTCCTCATGTTCTTGGAGATTTCCAGCTACTATGATCCGGGCCGGCTCATCTGTGATTTTCCCTTTGATGGTGAGTGTCTGGCTTACGGCCAGAAGCCACTTCAGCTGAAGGTCGTGCAAAGACTAATCCACCCCTTTCATTGTTCTCCAACTCTCCACAAAAGTTGGGCCTGGAAAAACCAGGCGTTTCAGGCCAGTGCTCCTGTTTGTCCCCTCTGAAGACTCACTTTTGTATGGTGACTGAGAAAAGTCTCCTTCCTGGGTGTGAACCACATGCTAATTGATAGCCAGGTTGCAACCTGTTTTTTGCTTCAGAACATGTTCTTGGCCAAGTTCATTGCTCAGCAGTTTTTGTAATCTGGCATGATTTGTCTTTATGAGAGCTGAGAGCAAGCATTTGCTCATCTTACCTGAACCACCTGGCTTATTGTAGGTGGTTGTTAAGTACTTGGCTGCTGAATGAATATTCTTACCCAGTTTATATGTGATCTCAAAAAAGACGGGATAAAGTACTTCCCAAAATAGCTCCCTCCTCCTCTTTTGAACTTCAGTCATTTTCTCCTTGAAGAAAAACCCAAGCAGTAAGAATCCTATCTTCTTCCCTTTTATATTGCCGTGTGCCCACTCCCCTGGACAGCTTGGTCCTCACCTTGTGCTTGCATGATTGGTGGCAGTGGTTCCTCATATTCCTTTTCCTCCTAGGCCTCTTAGAAGAACGAGCTCTCCTGTTGGGGCGCATGGGGAAACACGAACAAGCTCTTTTCATTTATGTCCACATCTTGAAGGATACAAGGATGGCTGAGGAGTAAGTTTGCCCCGCCATCCTACCTCCTAAGCAGTCTACAGGCCCCGCAGAGAGATGAGAGCTAAGAAGTCCATCTCCCCATACTCTGCTGCGGGAGCAAGAATCGCCTCCATCCCGGCCCCCAGTTTTGGCTATGGTTAGGCTGCTCCATCAGGCTGCACGCACAGCCTCTCATTTAAATGTGCCCCCCTCACACCACCTGCTCTCACCACTCTCTCCCTTACAGGTACTGCCACAAACACTATGACCAAAACAAAGATGGCAACAAAGATGTGAGTAGTGGCCCTGACCCAGGGAGCACGTGTGCATACCTCACCCCATTGTTTTGACCAGAGGTGGCAATAATATGAGTGGCAGAATGAGACGGGGCATGGGTCAGGGCTCTGATTGATCTTGCATGTGTGTACTGAGGGAGAGCATGGAACCATTCGTCCTGGTGTGCTTGGGGTAGTTCTGGTGTACATCTTTGTCATCCCTGTGATTATTAATGGCACTCCCGTCTCTTTACTCTCAGGAGTCTTGATTTGTGTCATAAATTATGAGGTCCGCCTGTCGAGCGGGAACCTGTCATGGTTCTGATGTACTACATCTCGAATACACGTTGACTTGTCAATGTCTGGAGACATTTTTGATTGTTGTGACTGAGGACAGGGGTGCTGCTAGAATCCAGGGGGTAGAGGCCAGAGATGCTGCTAAACAACACACAGGACAGCCGCCAAACCAAGAATCATCTGGCCCCGAATGTGCACTGAGGTTGCGAACCCCGTGGTACTGGCACCAGTAGGAAATGCAGCGTCTCACTTGCTATCCTCACCTGCAAAAGTGTGGACAGGGTATCAGCTTTTAAAGCCAAAGGAAATGAGGAATCTTTTTGAATTATTTTACAGTGGTAGCATTTTGTAAATGGTACAATGGTAAACAAATACAAGGCATTTTTTTTTTCTCTCAGGGAAAAAGCAATCCTTAATTAACATCTTCCGTTGCCTGTTTGACCTTACCAATTTAAAAGGTGAAAATGACGAGTTTTACATGCTCAGGGATAGCTGTTACTGTAGACGAGCCCCTCGCATCTTTAGGCACGCTCCGTGCTGGGGGTTCGGGGCAGGTTGCTGCCAGCCTGACGTGGCTCCTCTCTCTCTGAGACAGGTGTATCTGTCCCTGCTTCGGATGTACCTGTCACCCCCCAGCATTCACTGCCTGGGGCCAATCAAGCTGGAACTGCTGGAGCCAAAAGCCAACCTCCAGGCTGCCCTGCAGGTCCTGGAGCTGCACCACAGCAAACTGGACACCACCAAGGTCAGGAGTTGTTCCCAGGGAGATGGAGGGTGTTTGCAGGGAGCATCGAGTGAGAAGAGGAAATGCAGAAAGGGACTAGGGTCCAAGAGCTCCATGGCTGCAGACATTTCTGCATTCTCACTCCTGTTCCGCCTCACCCAGTGGCTATCTCTGTTCCTGTCCCTAGGCCCTCAACCTTCTGCCAGCAAACACTCAGATCAATGACATACGCATCTTCCTGGAAAAGGTCTTGGAAGAAAATGCACAAAAGAAACGGTTCAATCAAGTGCTCAAGAACCTTCTCCATGCAGAGTTCCTGAGGGTAGGTATGGGCCTTCCAAAGTCTAGGGTAGGCTTTTAACTTCCAGTACGAGACAGTATCCACATGTTCCCTTCCGACCAAGGCAGAACCTGTACAGTGCAGCTCAAGCTGATCCAGTAGCCAGCTTGACATTGAATTGCCAGTGTTCTAAGCAGAAGAATCTGTGACAGCTGAAAGAGGAAACAGTGCCGGCCTCTGCCTCCTGTTTCTGGGTGCCACACTGTGCAACTTCTTCCTCAATCCCCCTGTTCTTCCAGGTCCAGGAAGAGCGGATTTTACACCAGCAAGTGAAGTGCATCATCACAGAGGAGAAGGTGTGCATGGTGTGTAAGAAGAAGATTGGGAACAGGTGAGCCTCCTTCACACCTGTGCAGCGTCTGGGCTCTGTGGAGGTTCCCGGGGGTGGAGAACACTCAGGATGGATTTCTGCCCTTTAACAGAGGAGGAGAACATGGCTGCTGACTGTCCTGACAACTTTTAGTTCTTGAGCCTTCAAAGAGCAGCCTGTTCTATCTGTTGGGGGTGGGCTTTGAGAATTTGAAGACCCGCAATATATGGTATGGAGCTGTTGGATTATTGTCCGTAAAACTCTTCCTCTCTCGAAGCTAGAAACTGATAGAGTGGGTGCCGGAGAGATACAGGTCAGCAGAAAGTTGTTATATTTTAAGGAAGATCTAGTGAAGGAAGAAAAAGATCTTTCGAGTTACTGCAGTGTGACTGGAGTAGGACGGTGAGCCAGCCTCATACTGTGTTGAGACACATCCTCCAGTTAGCCCCTTTCTTCAGAGGAGAGGGACTTGTCCCTTTTCTTATGTAGCTGGAAAAATATTTTTCTTTAGAAAGACAAACTCGCTGTCCTTTTTAGAATTAGCCTGAAACCTATTCTGATGGACATTGTCGGCTCTGAGGAAGCCAGTGCTGAGTTTGGGGCTAGTGCACTGCCCATCTTTATTATGCCGTGTGTTTTGCATAGTAAAAAAATACCCCATGCACTCTTAACTGTGTGCACCTCATCCTCTGGTTATTTGACAGAGATGATGGCTACAGAAATCCAGAGCCCCTCAAGGCAGGCTGTTCTTTCTGTTCTTTGATGTTTGGGTGGGCTGCTTCTGGGATGGCCTCCACCAATGTGCCTCTTCTGTAGGAGGTGCCGCTGCCAGAGAAGTGGTCACTTATAGGCAGTCCTCACTCCCAAGCCATTTTCTTCCCTGCAGTGCATTTGCAAGATACCCCAATGGAGTGGTCGTGCACTACTTCTGTTCCAAAGAGGTAAACCCAGCTGACACTTGAGCCCAGCATCTTGGGGATCCAGCAGATGGACAGCTTGGCTCTCCCAGAGAGGTGAAGGAGCACCTGGCCTTAGGAATCCTGGCTGCCACCACCACAAGGCTCCCTATTTGGACACTACTGGCTATCTTGTGCCCTGGAACAACTCTGAATTAATTAGACTCATGGTCTGGCATTGCCAGCTTTTTAATGGGAAAAGAGATTAGTTATACCTTATACCATTATACTGTGGGCAATTCAGTACCTGCTTGGTCAGGAGGAGGTGCACCATCTTGCCTTTGCATACCAGTCACCTGAACAAGGAAACTTGTCACAAGTGTTTGTAACCATGGGGTTGTTCATCAAGGGCTTTTCTATTAAGATAAGTATACGACTTCACAAGGACCCCTCAGCATGGCTCACTGGAGAGTTCCATGAGAGAACAGCGCTCAAGCTTCTGGCCACATGGACCCGATGGCTCACGTTCTGTGTAGCGTTTTACGTCCCCATGGTAGCCATGCCCTGCACCCCTCAGTAGCCGCCCTATTAGTTTTCAGTCTCCTTTTCTTTCTCACCATTTATCCCTTCCCTCACTGCCCTACCCAGGCTTTCTCTCCCACTTCCCTGACTCTGGGAATAACTAATATTTATGCAAGGTAAGATGAGAAGCAAGGGGAAGTCTCAGTTCCTAGGATTACAGTGCTAGTTGATTGTCGGGTACGTTGTAAATAGACCCTCTTTGGCCACACATTCCATGCCTAGATGCCTCGGAGAGCACCACTCTCTGCCTAGGCCAGGCCCTGCGTCCCTCGCCTCAGGCCGGGCCGAGTGTGACCGCAGCTCCTGCGGATGAGCCTGCCCTGTCTGGGGTATGCGTGATCCCTAGACACATGTTCCCACAGAGGTCCCCGCTCCATTTTCGCTCACCAGACACTCAGGCGAGCTGGCTTAGTCGTTGTGAGTGGCGATGTGCTCTGGGCCCTTTCTCTTTTTCCAGCCAGTTTCCATTCACTTGCCTTACAGCCTGCCCTGGCTCCCCAGCTTTGTTCGGCAGTGGTGTGGTTGGAGGGTTGTGCTGGGATAGCACAGGAAGGTGGGTCCCGGCAAGACGCAGGGGATGAGCGGACCTGGAACTGACAATGGCATGCTGCCACGTGTTCCTGAGAGGTGTTCAGGCACAGCAGAGAGGACGTGGGGGGCAAGAACAGCAGCACGCCGGTTTAAAAATAGCTCACGGCCACACCTGTGGAGCAGTGTGGAGGATCCTGCCACAGGTGCACAGGCTGGAGTTTCAGGCACTGCAGGCTGAGGACACACAGGGAGAGTGGCCCTGCCTCCTGTCCTCCCTGGGGTTTTTGCAGACTCGAAGTCTCACTGCACCAGTGTCTTCGATGGTATTGGGGTGGGTGATGGTGCCCAACACTGACAGTTTTAGTGGCCTGTCCTTGACATACCGTGGTCCTTTGGAAACCATGGCTTCATGCTGTGTGACAGATCAATGTGCTGATGGTAAGTAGACTAGGCTCCCCCAGGCATGCCGTCCGTGGGGGCCTGAAAAGACAGTGAGTGCCGTTGGCCCCATTCACAGACGTGGGAGACTCTGCTCAGGCCTGTGAGGCTGGACAGGCCTTCACCAGAGTTCGGAGGAGCAGTGTGTGGCGCCACCTCCCAGCTGGCCATACCCACACAGAAGCAGTGCTGCCTGTGGCCTCATCCGGGCCAGCTTGGACTCTGCTTCCTCCAGGAGCAGCAGGGAAGCCTGGGCTGCCTCCCTGGATAGCAGGAACTTGCCCTGCCACGTGTGCCCTGCCTTCCTGGCTAGCTGTGCTTGTTATCTTCCATTATCACGAACTGTTTGAAGCAATAGAATAAAGAACGTGTGTTTTCTTTCCTGGTATACATACATGACCCCATCTGCCAAACTCCATTCTCCTTCCCTCAGCTCTGCTCTCCACAGAGCTATGGAGAAGGCTGGAGATGAAAGCTTTGTAGTGAAGACTGCTAAAGGTCTCATCACTGCTCCTCATGATAAACCTAATAAAGCAAGAAACCAAGCCGTCTGGGTCTCTTTATTTCCTCCTCCCGTGGAGTTTGATGAAAATAACAATGAAAAGGTAGTAATTTAGCAAAGAACTTAGAAGAATAAGCCAATTAGTGACCAAGAAAAAATGAATATAATACTTGCATTACAAATGTTGCCCCATGCCACTTGGTACAGCCAGTGTGGTCATGGCTGATAAGTCGTCAGCACAGATACGGAACATGTCCATCATTATAGAATTCTACCGGACACACTGGCGCTCTAGAAGATCCGGAACATGTCCATCATTACAGAATTCTACTGGACACACTGGCGCTCTGGAAGATCCAAGTGTTTAGCAGCTGGTGCCTCTTCCTGCAGCCCATGGTGAAGGAATTGGGATGGAGGGACACGGGTGTTTGGGAAGTGGAGAAGTGTTGGTTCACTTTGGCCAACTCCAGAGAGAAAATGTAGCCCTTGTTGTCTCTGTCACTTCTGGCACTAGGGGCAATGACTTTATTGTGTGGTGGGCCGATGACTTCCAGAAGAGGGTGGTACAGCCAGAAAGACATCAGTCGGGAGCTAGGGCCCCAGCCTGTTTCCACCCCCAGCTAGCTCTGTGCCCTCTCCTCTTGTGTGGATCCACGGGTCCCCTGCACACATTCACAGCGATCACCAAGGTGCCGGACTCTCATTTCTTACAGCCCAGGCCAGGTCTTTGCTTCACAATCCAAATAAAGCAGAAACAGGCCCTTCTTTGGGGTCTGGTCACTGGCAGTCACACCTTCCTTTTTGGGGGAAATTTCTGGTCTGAACTTGCCCATTTGGTTCATTTTGGAGTTGAATCCCATCTTTTTTGGATGTATTTTTCAGCCTGCGACTCTAGGCCTTGGGAAGAGGAGATGACTGAATCTTAGTTGAGGGTCAGAAATTCTGTCCCTCCCACAGTTCACAGCCCCAGAGATCCTCACTCTTCCTGGAGACTGCCTGTCTCAGCCACTCTGATGGCTGTGGGCCCCAGAAGAGCAGACATCACATCCATCTGCAGCCTAAGGCCTACGGTGGCCAAAGAGAACGCTAAAGCCTGTATCTCTAGTGGCTGAAGGACAGGCAGACTTGTTGTTTGGCCTGTCCTTATTTATAACCCCTGCCCATATGCCTGTCTGTACCTAGACACCGTACACTGACCCAGGAAGCGAGCCTGGGCCGAAGCCACAGGGAGTCACGGACTGAATTTCTCCCGGATGTGGATGGGCCCACCTCACCTTTGTCACCTTTGCGTTTCTAGGCCTAGCACAGGTCTGGCACCCACCAGGCTCTTGGTGTTTGGAGAATTAATGAGGGTGGTCAGGAGAGATTAGAAATATCTTTGATGAGTTCATGTCCTTTGTAGGGACATGGATGAAGCTGGAAACCATCATTCTGAGCAAACTACTGCAAGGACAGAAAACCAAACACCACATGTTCTCACTCATAGGTGGGAACTGAACAATGAGAACACTTGGACACAGGAAGGGGAACATCACACACCGGGGCCTGTCGTGGGGTGGGGGCAGCGGGGAGGGATAGCATTAGGAGAGATACCTAATGTAAATGATGAGTTAATGGGTGCAGCACACCAACATGGCACATGTATACCTATGTAACAAACCTGCACGTTGTGCACATGTACCCTAGAACTTAAAGTATAATTTTAAAAAAGCATACATATACACACACATATATATATGTATATATATATAAAGAAACATCTTTGAGCCCAGATGAAATGCTTCAGCTCAAGAGCCGCAGGGAAGGAGGGACTTGAAGCGTGGCTAGTGTCAGGCCTTTTCCACAGCTGAAGGAGACTAGTCACTGATTTGCACTTGCCAGTTGGTCTCTGGGCCAGCTGTGCCAGCATCACCTAGAGGGGTCTGTTTTTCACAAACAGCCCGGTGATAACCAGGGGGCTGGATTTGGGAACAAGAGTGCTAACCAGAGACTCCAAGAGTCTCATGGAGACAGACTGAGCTGGCTCCTGCCTGGGAAAATTAAGCTCTAGTCACTTCCTGGAACATATCAAACTCCACCTCCAGCAGGCCATCCAGCCTGGGTCCTCTGCAGGGCAGGCAGCTCCACCCTCCCAACTCAGTGCTACCTGTCACACCTGAGCCAGCAGTTTGTGCAGCCAGAGGAGCGCTGGTAGGGCTCCCTGCTGGGGCCTGGGCTGCCCAGCCATGCTCTGGGCACTCTGGCCAAGGTGGCTGGCAGGCAAGATGCTGCCCCTCCTGGGGGCGGTGCTGCTTCAGAAGAGAGAGATCAGGGGCCCTCTGCGGAGGCACTGGCGGGTAACGTACCTGAGATTACCTGGGAAACCCGGACTGGGGGAGTCCTGGGAGCTACAGTGCCCTGTGAGGACTGAGACCAGCCCCAGCCCTGGGTTTTGAGTTGGGGTGGGACCTGTTTATTCTAGATGACCTGGCAAAGCTTAAATTAAACCTTGAAAATAGCTCCCTCCGATTAGGAAATGGAGGGTTAGTTCACCTGATACTTGTCTGGGGTGGGTTGGCTTTCGCGAAGGATGCGCGAGCCTGGCTGTAGAGTCTCCGGCGCTGGTGGGGTTGTGAGGGGAGAGTTTCCCTCCCAGCAGGCGGCATGCTGATGCTATCTCTCCTGAGCCCAGCTGTAATCTGCTCGGTAACTCATCAGACCGGTACCCCCTGGTGACTCTCGGCTTCCCCTCACCTGCTCGCTGCCTCCTAGGCTGTCTTTGAGCCTCTGTCAGGGAGCAAGTGAGGGAGGGGTGTCGCCGTTTTCTCTTTTAATATTTAATAGCCTCAAGCACAACATTAGCGCAGCTCTCACAGCCGCTCCCAAGCTAGGGTGGGGGCGCGAGGGTCTGAGGGGGGCCGCAGGTGTGTGGTGCACGACAGCCATCGATAGTTCAGCGAGTCCGTGCTGGATTCAAATTTGAACCCAGACCGGTTAGGTTCCAGGATCCAGACGCATCACGAAGGTGTTGAATTCCCAATGCCCGGGCCCCGCCAAGGTCTCCCTGCTTCCCCGCACAGAGACATCAGTGACCCTAAGCCCGGTTGCTGCTCCGTGATGGGACGAGGGGAACAATGGGGGGAGGGACCAGGCTCACACTAGCTAACTGAGTCCCTGGAGTTCTGTTGTTGCAGCGGGAAACCCACCCATACTATGACCTCCAGGTGAAGGTGCTGAGGGCCACAAACATCCGGGGTACAGACCGGCGTGAGTGACCCCATCTCCACCCTTCTCCCTGTCCTTTCCCTGCGGCCTCCTCAGAGCTCAGCTCAGCCTGGCAAAGACAGAGAGAGAGAGACAGTGTGTGTGTGTGTAAGAGAGTATATACATGGGTGAGTATAAGTGAGAGTGTATGTGTATATACATGTGTGCAAGTGTGTGTATACGTGTGTGTATGTGTATACGTGAGTATACATGTGTGTGTATGTGTGTGTGTGTGCAAGTATGTGTGAGTGCAAGTGTGAGTACATGTGTATACGTGTGTGAGCATATGTGTGTAATGTAAACGTGTGAGTGTGAGTGTGGGAGCACAAGTATGTGTATACATGTGTGCATGTGTGTGCGAGTGTGTAAGTGCAAGTGTGTGTGAGTGTGTGAAAGTGAGTGCGTGTGTGTATACATGTGTGTGCGTGTTGTAGGTGTGTGCATACATGACAGTGAGTGCCAGTGTGACTGAGTGCGTGTGTACGTGTGTATGTGAGTGCCAATGTGAGAGTACGTACACACATGTGTGCGTGTGTGAGTGCAAGAGTGTGTGTGTGAGCGTGTGTGTGGAATAGGTGGAGGGACTGGTGCTGACCATGGAGGTGAGGGCAGGCAGGGCTGGAGGGGACAGCTGTGCAGACTCGGCCTCCTCCCTGTGCCTGGGAGTGCTGCCCTGGGTGAGAGCATGAGGCCCGCTGTGGCTACAAGTCAGCACGTGCTCTCAGGGAGCTTTCCATGCCAGTGCCCACACAGGGAGGGGATTTTACTGCCTGAATCATGCAGTAGCTGGAGTTAATGGTCTGTGCTACCATGGGATCTTTCCAACTGGCTGCTGCAGGATTTCTGTTCAGGTGAACGGGAGGTGTGTGGAATCAAGGTGGAGTGAAAGACATCAAAGCTCTCCCTCCACCTCCTCACCCCACCATGCCACATGGGCAGCTTCCCCTCCTCGCCACTCTGCTCCTTCCCCTTCCGCCCTAGCCTCCCCCAGGAAACCTTTTCAGCAATGAGAGCTTGAGGCCCCGGCCCCTCCCCTGTCCTACCTGCAGTGTCCAAAGCTGACTGCTACGTACAACTGTGGCTGCCCACGGCGTCCTCCAGCCCTGACCAGACTAGGACAGTGGCCAACTGCAGTGACCCCGAGTGGAATGAGACTTTCTACTACCAGATCCATGATGCTGTGAAGGTGAGGGCCAGCCAGGGGCCAGGCTGCGGAAGGAAGGGTAATCTTCAGGCAGCTGCCCTCCTGTCCTACCTCAGGCTCCGACCTCCTGCCTGCCCTGTCCCCAGAATGTTCTGGAGCTCACTCTGTATGACAAGGACATCCTGGACAGCGACCAGCATTCCCGGCTCCTGTTTGACCTGAGGAACCTCAAGTGTGGCCAACCTCACAGACACACCTTCCCACTCAAACAGCAGGTGAGCCCACCAGTGCTGGCGGAGAGCCCAGCTGGAGGAGGGGAGGCCCAGCACAGGGCCACCGAAGAGGGGGCTCTGGTCAGCACAGGCCAAGCCTCCAAGGCAGACCTTCCTCCATCCCACAGCCCTGACCCTATAAAGGTTTCCCTCCAACACATCTTCCTTGCATGAAACCAAAATATGAGCTCCTTGAGGGCTGTGTGTTGCCTCAGTCACAGCTGGATTCTCAATGTCTAGAACAGCGCCTGACACACATTTTGGAATAAATGAGGCTCTCCATGGAGATACCACTGCCCCTCCTATGTCCATGACAAGCCACAATGCCAGTCTCCCCTTCTAGTTCCTGGAGCCGAGCAGGGCTGGCAGGCAGGAACAGCTCTG